CTCGCTTTATTATGCTTCGGATAGACAATTAGATAGACTCTATAATATCCTACGATATAGGACATTCTAGTCTATAGAATCGACTAGGGGAAAGAGTGTAGAGCTTCTACTAAGCTCTTATACGCCTTAGCGCGCTAGCTCTCTATCTCGACTACTAGGTTTAGTAATGCCTTACTCCCGAGATGACTTTAACGCCGCTATTACTTACCGACGATTCGTAGTAGGGCCTACGGACGTATCGCCTCGTAGCCTATAAGATTAAGTAGACTACCTACTATCTATATATAATCTATAACTAAGTTTTTAGTGTATTCTTAGAATGTAGTCTCTTCTCCTAGTAGATAAGTAGCGACTATAAGTGTAGCGTAAGCATCTAAGCCGTCGCACTTATAAGACCTTAGCTAGCACTTCGCCGCCTACTTTAGTATAGCGCATAAATCGTATTTATCTATAACTCTTACGATGCTTATAATCTTATCTCTAGTTATACTAATCGGGACCTCCTTAGGCTAGTAATACAGTATGCGAACAACAACTTAGAAACTCTTAGCGTCGTCGTCTAGTAGCTCTAAATTTTCCGGCGTAAAGACCGATAAGCTTCGACCCTTAGTAAAACGACTAGAGAGCATAGCGGCAAAGACGTAGGAGGCGGAGCTTATAACTTAAGAGTAAGCTAGAACCTTCGTTGCTCCGTCCGGCCTAAGAACGAGATTAAGATCGTAAATAGGATTTGTTATCTCGACTAGCATAGCGACGTCGATCGTTGTTTTCTATAGATCCGTCTCGAACGTGATCGGTCGAGCAATAATAAGGAGTAGACTACTAGGCGAAGGTAATGTAAGGTTTAGTAAGTAGGGAAGTTCTATAGAGTGCATTTAGATTACGTAACCGAACTAACTCTACGCATAAGGAGATCTCTATCCATTTCCTACGTGCTTAGATCTTAGCATATATAGCTATAGTAAAGCTTATATATTACTCTAGTGCTAATAGAACATTACTAAAATCGAACGACTCGGTTAGCTACCTCGATGTTATCTAATAAGTAACAATATTCTATAAAATTAGTATTTAGCCCCGATAAATATGTACGCTCGATCCTAATAAATTAATAAAGGATCTCGTTAATTCGCTACTATAGACTTACTCTTATGTGTAGAGAATGAGGCAGTCTTATAGGAGTAGATCGTATAGATATGTTAGCGGTGTTACTAATGCTAGGCATAACTATGCTATAATTTGTCTAATTCGTTACTTAGATTGCGCTTAACTAGTAGCACTTACTATTATAATATTACCGGAGATCTATATAAACCCCGCACCTCGGTTATTCCGTAGGTAGCCTTAGAGATAGGTTCGACTCGCCTTCTTCGCTAAAGAAATTAACATGTCCGGAGATACCGTAGCTATTATACTTACTTAGAACTCCTCTAGCGTTAGAGTTAGATGCCCTTTCGACTGCTCGCGGAAGGTCTACATACATAGCTATACGATGCTAGTATTAGGAAGATTAAACACGAGGGTCGCTTATTATAGACGAGATTTAGATGATTCTATTACGTCCTAGTCCTCGAGTTATCGCTTACTATTTCCGTTCGAGGATAATCTACTTATAGAAGGGCTTTAGTAGGAGTTAGATCGGTAGAACAATCGATAGAGAACCGTCGGATAGAATGTCGAGGATCCTAACGATTTTAAGCGACACGGTCCTATAGTGGAATATTTAGAGGAACACACTTACGATAGAGAAGAACCGGAGTTCGAATCGGCGACTTTACCTAAGACACTTAGCGACGAGAATATTATCGTAGCTACACTCGGTCTTCTAGATCTCGGATAGGCCGACAAGATCTTTCTCTTTAGCCATTATGTATCTAACGAAGTCGAGGATGTCCGGCAGATCTTAAGACGCGCTAAAGATCCTTATATACTTATAGCAAAGCGCGATCTGCCTAGCGATAAGCCTATCCTACTTATAACGTACGAGGAAGGTCATATAGACGTCGTTAGACTTCTGCTCGAGTACTCCCCTCTATTAGAAGTAAGAGATAACGATGGTAATACGGCACTGTTTTAAGTAATCTCTTACGGCTAGGGTAGAATTACGAGTCTCCTAATTAAAGCGGGAGCCTCGACCGAAGGCATTAATAGCACGGGTTAATCGGTACTCGAGGCGATTAGAGTAGCTCTTCGTTAATACTAGCGGTTTAGGGAAGCTAAGCTGCATCCCGCCTACGCTAAAAACGATACGACTCTTACTAGACGGCGAAATCGTAAGCTAGAGATTCGTACTTTAGAGGATATTCTCGAGTAGTGCGAGATCCGAGAAGCGAAGTAACGAGCTAAATAGAAGTAGGAATCACTTTATAAGCTTTATGGCCGTACCTAAGCCTAGTAGTACAAAAGTGACGTTACCTTCGACTAGCTAGAGACCGTCTAGCAACTGCTTACCGGGGTCTTTTCTATGCTGTTATTAAGTCCCTAGAAAATAATCGGATGTCTAACGAGGAGCAATACGCTCCTTTAACTCTCGCAGTTAGTAGATATATAAGCGGAATTAAAGGCTTCATCGACGGCACTCTCGACCGTCTAGTGTCGCTATATAGGGTGTTTAAGCTTGCTCGCCTCCTAGGGCATAACTTAGCGCCGCATCGCCGGGATGGGGACTAGCTAGGTTCATTCCTAGCATGCTATGCGGAGAAGCAACTCTTAGCATTTATGCTATGGAACCACACGACCGCCTTTAGAGATGTCCGTAACGAAGCACAGCTAAATGGTTATAAACCTACGTGTCTCTTACGGCTTCGGACCAAGATTTTTGTTTACTAGCCTGCTAAGGTGTAAGCCGATGTATGTAATGATTATGTTTCATTTTGTGCTAAAGCTGCGGATCGTTTTAGCATAACTTTGGCGCTGTATTTAGTGGGGAGATCTAGAGTTGTCCTTAGCTATTGTTAGCCTTCGCAGTCTTAGTTAAGGGATATCTACGCGCCGTCTGCGAATTACGTGTGATCTTAATTAGAACCACATCTGGGTCTAGGCTCTTACAATGTTTCTTTATCTAGAAGTCTTCCCATATGGGTTTGGAACTCGTTCCTTTATGGGAACGGTCTAGGGACCGAGCGGAAGAGTGCTACCTATCCCTAGATGGTCATCAGAAGGCTTGCAGCAGCCAGAGATTAAGAGTGAACACTTCTTAATCTAAAGATACTAGCAGTGCGAGAACAGACGCGATTTGATTAACTATGAAGAACGCGGGCGCTATTTTTGACAAACAGGGTACACCATCCCGCAGCTATAAATCGTCCTCGTATGCAGAGGACGAAGTAGTGTCTCAGGTAGCGGAGTCGTGCAGACACGTTGGTGGTGTTATAAATGCCAGGCAAGAGTGTGCAAACAGCGAGGCATTGTTACAGTAGCGGATCTCTGTAGAGTGACCAGGTATCCTCGATGAATGAGACCTGTCGAATACCTAGCTACGAAATTGTGCGGCATGTAGCGTTAGCTCAGTCGGCGTTAATGCAGACAAGCGCGCATCCTTTTTTAGACGGCGGGCGGCATACATGTGATGTTGCAAGAGATTTCGAGTGCGCAGGAATGACTATATTGATGCGCAGCAGATGATAGCGCAGGAGATGAGAGGTAACACGAATCTGGGCCGCGACGGACAAGCAAAGGGTAGAATAAGCGGGTTCTAGACTAGATACATAGGCAACCGTGGTTGTTAGCAGCTTCGGGTCATACGTACGAGTCCTAGCATACCCGTATCTACACGCGATTAACCATTCTGTATGCACGTCTGACTGTGATAGTACTCGGTAGCGAAGCGATGAGTAGCTAGGAGGATGTCAAGTTTGTTGTGTAGTTGCTTGTTTTCCGAACACACGCTAAGGTCTGGAGGAATGCGCATCCTCATGCAGGTGTTAAATCAAGGGAAGTTGGTGCGCGCGTCCCGATAGGCTGTTGAGTTGTCGCACGACCGCGCACCGAAGTTGATCTTGCAGACATGTTGGTGGCGTCGTATGCAGGAGACGACAGCGAGGCAGTGTTACAATAGCGAAACTGTGTAGACGTGTTGGATCCGGGTGTGGTGAACGAATGAGACCTGTTTCCCGATTCCAGCATTGGGGCGTGCAGGACGGCGGCGGCTCAGTCGGCGCCAACACAATCGAGCGGGCATCCTTTTACAGACCGACTTCTAGGTTGCTATCGGCCAGGAAACCAGAAACTTATCCCAAATTCCGGTCGTCGACGACACGGCAATCAGCACGGATGCCCAGTTTTCAGCTGACTGTGGCCGTATGTATCGAAAATGCTTCTTTTTCGTACATAATACGACAACATGCCGTGAACATCAGGATGCTATTGCACTTGACCATAGCATCTTTGTACCAATTCATAAATCAAACGCAAGTTCTTCTGATATGCTGATATCAGAGAGTTATCATCACGTTGAAACCCGTCATGTTTTCCTAGTATCCAACGCATTCCGGTCTCACCAATTCTCGGCCCCTATTTGTTCCTGTTTCGATACCCTCTAGCTATCAGTGGAGTTCCAATATGCTCATCAAATCAATTTGCTCAAACTCATTCCTGGTAGCAGGGGACAAGGCATCGTAGCAACAATAAAACAGTAGCGTTTCATTGTTGTTCCATTATGGGTGGGATGATGTGCTTGTGTGATGGTGCAATAGCACGCGAAAACATCCAGCGATGTGTGATGCAGCTACGTCTCCGCTTGGCCAACTTAATTCGATGCAGTATTCAAGCGAACCAAGGAATTAACATCGAAGGAACGCTGTCTGGCTGAGGAGGATAAAGTGCCATTATATAGCTCCACAGTGGTGCAATCCTCAACCCTCAAGCTGATATCGTGGTAAGTCGTACCTGTCGCTGCAGCTGTGATTTATATATTAGACAGGCTCCATGGTCGTAAGAGTAGTCGATAGCTTGTCGGCAGCTTTTTCGTACACATCAATCAGACACTGAGACTCTCTCAGTTCTTCCAAAACAAGTTTGATGTCTTTCTTTCGACGCTCTGTCAATGAAAAGACAGATGATTCTGCAACTTCGTCAAGCAACGATGTTTTCTCATCGCACGAGATAGTGTCAACCACAGGCGACCTCAAGTTTGTCGTCGAGCAGGGCGGCAACGGTTCACAACCATCCTATCAAGAAGTGTCTGGTGCGCCCGTCGAGGCCAAATCTTCCCTTGGCTATGCTGTCGGACCTGTAACTATCGTCTTGATCAACATAAGCAAGATGATCGGGACTGGCGTCTACTCAACTCGTACGTAGGACTCGCTATTCATTGAACGTACCTACTAACGTTGCATCANNGCGGCGACTATATTGAAAGGAACCGGCTCTGTTGGCACCAGTCTGATACTCTGGGCACTAGGGCTGCTTACATCAGGTGCTTCGCTCGCAGTATATCTCGAATATGCTTCCTACTTTCCAAATCGATCGGGTTCAGAGGTCGTGTACCTGGAACAAGCCTTTCCTCGACCAAAATACTTTNTTCCCATCGCTTTCGCTGTCCAGACGGTGATTTTGTCATTCAGTAGTGGCAACGCCATAGGTATGCGGCACTGTTCCAAGTCAACGTAAACTCTACTGACCATCATGGCCANNGTCATGGCTCAGTACCTGTTCAAGATAGGAGACCACACACCTTCTGCCTGGGAACAAAAGGGTGTCGCCATCGCTTGTTATACCCTGGTCACGTTGTGTAAGAAAAAATCTCCAGTCAAAACTGCAACACTGTCTGACAGCTTCTCAGTATTGATCTTCCACACCAAGACCTCCTACCGTATATCTAATACCATTGGCATTATCAAGGTTCTAACATTGATATTGTAAGTAACTCGGTTCCCTTTGATATCAGTCACTGATAGCAGTTTGCGTAGCATTGGCATCACCGGTTTGGTTGTCTTGGGTGGCCACACCAGAGTTCAAGATCCACATGCAAACTTCAAAAATGCCTTCGAAGGCAAGACGACTGGGTACGGCTTGACAAACAGTTTGGTCAAGATTATCTTCTCGTATGCCGGCTATGAGAATGCTTTTAACATCGTCAATGAAATTCAAGTAAGTCGCCAGGCATCGCATCCGATTAGAGCAAGCTGACACTGGCCGTAGAACCCAGTAAAGACGATTAAGAGGAATGCATCGTACTCGTTGGTCATCGTGACAGTGCTTTATATACTTGCAAATGTTGCTTACTTTGCGGCTGGTAAGATCGATATTTCTGGAGATGGTAATCGTGTGCTGACATCGTGACTAGTACCGGTAAACGACATCAAGAAGTCAGGCGTGACAGTCGCAAGTCTTTTCTTCACCAATGTTTTTGGTCATGCCAAATGCGTCAAAGTCTTCAACCTGCTCATAGCTCTGAGTGCATTCGGCAACCTGATTGCTGTACAGATTGGACAGTCCCGTCTCATCCGGGAATGCGGAAGGTGAATATCCAGGTTGGCCAGACTGATAGGTATCAAGACTGATGTATATGCANGACAAGGAGTGTTGCCGTTTCCGAAGTTTTGGGCGTCTACAAGGCCTTTTGGCACACCGATCGGACCGTATCTGGTGAAATGGGCTGTCACGATCATCATGATTCTTGCACCCCCAGCTGGCGATGCCTTCAACTTCATAACTGACTTACAGACCTATCCCGCTGCAGCATTCACATTCACGATGTCAGTGGGTCTGTACATGGTGCGTTATCGACGCAAGAAGCTGGGTGTGCCGAGAAGCGAATTCCGTGCGTGGGATGCTGCTGTGGTATTCACAATCCTCCAGAACTTGTACTTGCTCATCATGCCTTGGTACCCTCCAACAGNNGGAGGAGCGACAGGTGGAGACGTCAGTTTCTGGTATGCGACTTACTGTGTCACAGGGATTGGAATTCTTTTGCTCTGTGGAGTGTATTACTACTTGTGGTTGTATGTACTTCCCAAATGGGGCAAGTACCGCATCATGCAAGAAGTCATAGTGCTCGAAGATGGATCAAGCACCAATTCGCTGGTCAGGGTGGCATTGAAGGACTTGTCGCAGTGGAGCCAAAGCCATGATGAGGCGGGTAGAGCAGTCGTGACGGGTGTTCGTGTCGAGGCGAAGAACGAACGCCGTCTTGAGCAAGTGTAGATTGTGCAAAGAATATATGTCAGAGCAGGCAGACAGCGGATTGAGTACCAAATCAACAATGGTTGTGATGAATTTACTGTCACGATTGAGAAGACGTGATTGACGGAGAGGAAGTCGCAGTCCATCAGATGCAAAGTCTTGGCAGCGTATATCAAGGCGGAGCGCCAACGCCAGCGCGATGGCCGTCGTATCAGCTGTTTCTACCTTGCCAGCCATCACACAAAAGACAACAACATCAACGCACATCATGTCGGATGACGAGATTGTCGCCGGCCCGCCTGGAGCCACATCTCTGGATGCACGAGGAACGTCTGACCTGAAACCCAAATACCGCTCATGGCGCAAGAAGTATCGCAAGATGAAGACGCACTTTGACGACGTCATGAAGGAGAGCAACAGCCTGTTTATCGATGAGCAGAAGCTCGATGCATTGTCTAAGAGGCTGCAGGAGCAGAACGAGTAAGTCGCCCTTTTACTATCCTCTTGTCGCGATCAAGGGCTGACCTGTCTCACAGCCNAACTGCTCGACCTCCTTCTCGACCTCAACACATCCCTGTCCATCCCACACGAATTGCGATTCGATCTTTCGCTGGCCCCCAAGTCGCAGCAGCCGCAGGAAGAACGCGACATGACTCTCGACGCCGCCAACAACATCATAGCCAATGCCCACCATGCCTTCCACAACCACGAGATCCCCCATCTAGACTTTGTCCGCATACGACAGGACATAGAAGCCCTGTTGGCTCGCAAGAATGCCAAGAGCTTGGTCGACATGGAGGCTCAGATCCCCCATCCACGATATCACCACCCAATTCCACCACTTGTCGCCGAAGCAGATCCCGCCTTCTTGTCTTCGTCGCACGAAGATGCCTATCTTACTCGACTTGACAACAAGCTAGAACCTGTCGCCCTTGGCGATCCTCGCCCGTCCTCACCCCAACCCCTTTCCAAGCTCACTCAGCGCGAATTGGACCGCGAGGTCGAACTACGTAACCCTCTATCCGTCCACAACTGGCTCAAGAAACACAGCACAATGTCCGACATCGACGGCGCTTCAGAAGGTGGTGCCGCTAACGCTCAAACTCCTGCGACCGCCAACAAGCGCCGCAACCTTGCCAAGCAAGTTGGCGATAGAGCAATCGAACGCGCTAGAGAAAAGGAGGGCAGCCCAGGGAGCACTGTGGACAACGAAGACGAGCCTGCTGCGGACGACACACCGGGCAAGCCGAAAAAAGCCAGGGACGACGACCAAACGTACCGCCCAAAGGGCGGCCGTAGCAAAAGCAAGCGAAAGAGAGACGAGGGTGAAAACACGCCTGCTCGGGGTAAGAAGCAGAGGACGAGTCTCAACATCCCCTCGGATGCATGAATATGCAATCGACCGACTAGTCATAATAGTATTTGGGAAGCCATTGCTTCTTCTAGCTTGTTATAAGCCTTTATCATGTCAAACCATTTTCTACATCCAAAAAGTTCCCTTCTTCACTTCCATTCGGCGCTCCACGTCTTCTGATCGCGTCTGAAAGGAACAACCTCGACGCTGCCATCAGCGTTCTTCAGCAGGCTCTGCACCTTGACGCCATCCTTTCTCAAAACAACTTTTTCACCCTTCTTGTCTTCGGCTCCGTAGAACTTTCTGCCGTTCAGTCCAAGGAATCCTTTGAGCTTCTCCTCGGTAACATCATCTGCCTTGAGGACACCACGCTCAATGCCCTGCTCCAAGGCAGAGAGCACATATCCGACCGCATGAGGCTGTGTGAAAACACCTGCTGCGACCTTGTCACCACGCTTGTTGATAGCTGGGTGAGGAGCACTATCGGTGCCGAGGAAAAACTTCTGGTTGCCCGAAACAACAGTCTTGAGCAGAGCTTCGCGATCCTTTGGTGTCTTGGCCACAGGCTTGCAGAACGAGTGCGGGTCGCCGGCCCAGTCATCGACAATCAAAAAGAGATGGTGGGCAGTGATGGTAGCCGACACGGTGGGACCGCAAGACTTGACTGTCTCAATGGCAGCCGCGGTAGTACAGTGCTCCAGAATGATTCTCAGCTTGGGGAAACGCTTGTGCAGGTCCTTAAGCGTGGGGAGGAATGCCTCTTCGGCGCTCAATACGGTAATGTTGTTGTCCTTGGATCCAGGGACCTCACCGTGCAGGTTCAAAACCATGTTCTGGCGCTCCATCTCCTCGAAAACAGGATAGAAGGGCTCGTAGCTGACGACACCGGCACTGCTGTTCGTGGTCACGCCGGCTGGGTAGGACTTGATACCTGTGATACCTGCAGAAGCAGCCTCCTTGACCACTTCGGGCGTGATGTCGGGGTGCAGGTACAAGGACATGAGGAAGTTGACGTTTGGCTCGATCGCCTCCAGTCTCTTCTTGTAGTCCAAAGCGTGTCGGACCGTGGTGATTGGAGGTACCAAGTTGGGCNNTTTGATGGTAGAAGGGCTTAGATTCTTGTTTCAAAATCTACACCACAATTGGATGCTTACCATGACGAAGACGGTGTTGACACCTCCCTGTCTGATGGTCGGTGTGACAAGCTCCATCATTGGGCCATCGCGAAGGTGGACATGGAAATCAGCAGGAGCTGGAATTTCTAGGCCGTCAAACTGCTGGAGAGACATGATTTGATGTAGATACAGTGCTCTCTGTGCAAGGTCATGATCGAGTCAGAATAGTGTGTCCGTTTGTTGGTTGAGGTTTAATCACAACCACCGAGAACAACCCCATGATAAAACTTACCAATGCTGCTTTCCAACTTATCTCTCGAAAACTTCAATTGATGAAGACAATTGATGGAAGACAGCTATGAATGAAGCCCTCAAGATGGACGATGTCGCTCGCCAAAACAAGGTTCAACTTTTCCCGGTGCGCCAAGACTTCTGTTCAATACCGACCACTCCCAACCCCTTGTGATCCTTCCCCAAACATCCTCTGATGAGTATAAGCCAAACCTGGCATTCTGAGACCAGGCTTGTGCTGATCGTGAACGATACCACAATGGTGTCCATCGCAATGCTTATAGGCCGAGGATCGTGGTGACACCGCATGCTGCGCAGAAGCCTGCCTGCTCTTGCCTTCTCTGTGTAACGGTGCGATCTGTCAACGTGCGATCCACACAAGAGACCGCGAATCGCACTTCTACCTTGACATGATGGACTGGAGTCTTCTAGTATACGGTCATCATCATGTGTCTAACAATCATAAGATTCTGAAAACAACTCATTCTCATGCATCAGCAGAAACAGGACAGACCAACAAAGCTTGCCGATTTTTTGGGCATATCGTCCAGACTGGTCACAAACTCCTGCCCGCAGATCTGTCGGTTGCTGTTACTTGCATGCATAAACCCGTGTGACAGTCCAATCATATTGCACTCATCATCAAACAGCCATATAAAGGTATCCATACAGCTTAGCAGATGCAGTTTGCGAACATGCTAAACACGATGCAACCAGATTTAAACCTCTGGTAGCCGACAACGCACTTTTGTTGGCAGATGAAAGGTGTTCGCTCGCTTGCCTCTTTCAAGAAATGGTTCTTTCACAGTCACGCCTTGATTGTACCATCCCACCTTTTCATATATGTGCTACGATCCATCCTCAATCTTCCAAAGCAACACGACCGTCCCTGAGATTCTTCATATATTCGTTCCCTTGCGGCTTCAACCCCCGCCATCGATAATGCCAGGCCTCCACATGTCTGCCTATGCTCCGCCAGGCCCCATGGCGTGGTCGGTTCCTCAGTACCCAGCAGCCGTGTCGACACAGTCGATACTGATTCCAGAGCTCAAGTTCTTCATCGAGCGGGGCGATGGTTCTCTCATCCCTCTTGTTCCTGTCGATGAACTTCCAGACGACATTCGCTTGGTTGGTGTGCCTTTAAGTCTGAGTGCCTCGCAAGCAAAGGATATGCTCTTCCTTGGACATGATTCATCTGTCAGAAGGAAGTTTTCGCTTGCTGGATCTGCAAACATCGATGAGTCAATGGCTCCTACATCAGTCGCGATGAAATACACACCTCAGCTCGAGGTGGCTCTTCACAACAACCACGTACCTCAGGTAATTCCAACAGCTTTGATTGTTCTTTCTCTCTTCTGACGTGACTCGCATAGCCCGTTCGTACGCAGCCCTTTACCGNCGCCCACTTCTGCATTCGTTCCAACCNCCAAGCCACTCAATGTGATCAAGCCGAGACCCCTCTACAATGAACGCCCTCTTCCGCCTTCTGGGATTGAGCCTGATCAGAAAAAGAAGATATACTGTACCTACTGGATCCAGCACCAAGGTCAATGCTCGTTCAAGCAGCAAGGTTGCATATACAAACACGAGATACCCGAGGACAAGGAGACTCTCAACTCGATTGGCTTGAAGTCGGTGCCTGCCTGGTGGCGCAAAGAGCAAGCACGCAAGAAGCAGAAGGGGAAGCGTCCCGAACGTAACGGTTCGAGCTCAGAGTGGGAAGTGGTCGAGCAACAGCAGACTGATAACTCTGCTCTCCATAGTGACGATCCTGTTCGTGTTCGCGTGCCACCCTCGTGTCCAACCGGCATTCCAATCACCCAAGATGTTGCCCACCAGCATCGTTCGGAGTTGGCTGCTCAGAAGGATGCCTCTACTTCTGACGTTCCATCTGATACCGCTACTGCTGGCAGCTCGGCTGCAGGACCATATTCTCCTCCTGGCGGTGTCAAACTGGGCGCTGCCAAGACCCCTGTACGTGGTCCTCCATCTCTGCCATTCAGAAAGCAAACTCTGGACTCGCCCATCGAAGACGAAGAGGAAGAGAACCTCATCGACTTTGAAGTTCTTGTACCATCGTCATCTTCAGACATCCCTTCACCCTCCCAATCGAGTCCTGTACCACTTACCGATCGCCAGTCGAAGGCAGAGGTGGCATCTAGACGCTCGAGGATTGTCGCCAACGGCGGTGTGTTCATCTCCCCAGGCAGAGGTACTCGCTCAAACATTGATGGCACTCGACGTGGCTCTGCAGACAAGAAGACTAGTCCCGCATCACCTACTACAAAGCACAACAGCACGGCCAAGGGCAAAGTTGAGGTGGGCAGAGAGAGGGTTGAGCATGGCAATGGCGTGTCCAGAAGAGGCAGAGTCAAGNTGATTCCACTCACGGAAGTCGCGGCCAAGGCTGCAGGCGAGGTTGGCATGCGGTCAGATCGTGAGGCTTGAAAGTCGCTTCCTTGTTGCTGGGACTCTTGATTGATGTTTTGATGATTCGGGAAAACCTGCCTGTAATCAACGGCCTTCGTGCCGAGAAGTGTAGGCATACAGTCCGACAGTCGAATACCATGCTGGTTAGACGGTCGGTCCGACTACTGAGGCGTTGTTCTTGAAGGACCGTCCAAAGTTGGCAATTTAGTCCAGCTATTCTCTAAGTACGCAGCTTGGCAATTCAACACTATTTTTCTCGATAAGCTATGAATTATTTTTTCTTTTCTTTTTGCTTTTTCTTCTTCTGAATGAACAAATATTGTGCCGGCCCGAGATGAAGCTAAGCAACGAACAACAACACTTCGACCAAAGAACATTCTTGAGCAAACTCAGGTTCACAGGTAAATTGCAGTGTCAACGCATGGAATGGCTTATAATTCGTATCAAGAGCCTTGTCGCCCTTCATGACGGCCTTGTTACTCCATTCCCGGCCTTGTTACTTTGCTCCGCCACGATGTCCAAGAGTCTCAAGTGCCTCAGCCAAGATACGCCGACCTTCTAGCGCTCTTCCACCTTGCTTCTGTTGAACAATCGGCTGCAGGATGCTCAAAACACCTGAAGCCGGTACTGAGTGAGCCGGTACTTCAGGATTCCGTTGGCAAGCACTGACATTTTCGGCCGCATGGCGAATACTTGGGCCGACTTGGCCTGCGTTGCGTACGGGTAAAAGTAGTGTGGTCGTGGGGTGATTGGTCTCCAATGGAGTAGATTGGACTGGGGTTCTGGGGCTCCACACTGCACAGCGAGATCGACCATATTGTTGCGGAGTATGGAGCCAAGGTTCGTCTCGTGCTCAATTCTCACTGCTTTTCCCACTCTTTAATATATAAAGTCCTGGATGATCGCTCATGGAAGGGTATAAGCACGCCCCTTGTCCATTCTCTCTTTCCATCAGGACCTCTCCTCTACTCGCTACTCGTGCGATATCTCTCTTTCTTGCTCCATCTTTCGCCTAGCAAAAGTCGTGGAACCGATATCACAATGGCTAGCTGCAACAACTCGATAGTGGCACCGCTTCCGGACTCTGTGGTTAAGAAGCATGGTGTCAAGACCATTGAAAGCAACAATGCAGTGACCGGCGCTCAGAACCTTACTCTCAAGCAGTCGATTCTGCCCGTATGCCTTGTTACCATCCTTTTCTTCCTTTGGGGCTTTGCATATGGACTTCTTGATGTCTTGAACGCCCATTTCCAGACTGCTCTGAACATCACCAAGGGCCAGAGCGGTGGCCTTCAAGCAGCGTACTTCGGAGCGTATGCTATTGGACCTCTGACTTACTCTGGTTGGATCGTTAGAAGGTTCGGCTACAGATGGGCCTTCATCACAGGTCTCTGTATCTACGGTGTTGGTGCTCTTATGTTCTGGCCATCAGGACTCAAGCGCAGTTTCGGAGGTTTCTGTGGATCGTGAGTATCTCCTCGGAGGAAACACAAGACTGTCAAAGTTGCTGACTCTGCGCAAGAANTGTTCATTGTTGGATCCGGTCTTTCGACTCTTGAAACTGCTGCCAACCCCTTCATCGCTACTTGCGGTCCTGCAAAGTACTCTGAACTGCGTTTGACTCTGGCTCAAGCCTTCCAGGCTGTGGGAACTGTCGTCGCGCCTGTTCTGGCAAGTCAGGTCATCTTCAAGAATGTTGATGACACTTCGCTCCAATCAGTCCAGTGGGTCTACNTTGTAAGTCCAGCATAGTCGTGGTGTTCTCACCATCCGAATCTCGTAAAACAATGCTAATTATACCTTCGTTGTAGGGGTATCGCCATCTTCGTCTTCATTCTTGCCGTTGTCTTCTTTTTCGCTCCTATTCCTGAGGTCACCGATGCCGACATGGCTGCTCAGGCAGCATCCAGTGGTACCGAGACTGCCTTCGAGGACAAGCCACTGTCTAAGCAATACACTCTCTTCTTCGGTGTGGCCGCCCAGTTCTGCTATGTCGGTGCTCAGTGCGCATACGCAGNNGGTATGTCAAACTTTCTTAACATCCAGATCTGAGACCATGCTAACTGAATCTTTCCTAGATACTTCATCAACTACGTGTCTGCTGTCCGTCCTGGCACGACCCACGCTACTGGCGCCAACCTTCTCGCTGTGGCCCAAGGATGTTTCGCCATTGGTCGTTTCATCGCCAGTGGTTTGCTCAAGATCACCAAGCCTCGTCTGGTCCTCATGGGCTTCCTCTCCGGTGTGGTCCTCTTCGCATGCCTGACTATGGGTCTCAAGGGTAACGCCGGTATCGCATCCATCTCACTGGTGCTCTTCTTTGAGTCGTGCGTGTTCCCTCTGATCTTCGCTCTGTCGATTAGAGGTCTTGGTCGTCACTCCAAGCGCGGTGCCAGTTTCATCGTTGCTGCTGTGTCTGGTGGTGCTTTGTTCCCTCCTGTTCNNTTGAGTACAGTCGCCGATCACATTGGCACTCAGAAGGCGTTCTTCGTCCCTCTGATCGGCTTTGTTATTGCATGGTGCTTCCCTCTCTACCTCAACTTGTTCAAGGCTAAGAGCTTGGATGGCTGGACCGAGGAGAAGGCTCCTGTTGTCGCTGAGAAGGATGTCGAGAGCATGCATGACGACGATGACGAGAAGAAGGGTGCTGCTATCGAGCACCAAGAGATTAGAGCTTAAATGTAGATATGAGCCTGCAGTTTCTTCCAATTGTTGAATAGATGTATATACACGATGCACTCCGAATCATATGAAGACTACAAATTTGTTTCGTAGCACATGCCAGTTGTTCGTATTAGGGTGACTTATCTCTGTGTCAACGCTGCTGGTTTGGAAAGCAGTCGTGCATTCTCATAGCTTCGTCACCTAGTGATATGTCAATCTGAGAGAGAAGTAGTTCGTGACAATGACCGTCTCTGGAGGCAGGTGTGCTGGGGTAGACCTCGGCAAAACCCTGTCCCGCGGGCCTTGACTTCTGATAGCATTCTTCCCAGACAACGTTCTTCCATGACTTTGCAGACGATATAAATCGAAGATTGGTCGACAATTGTTATCGAACTGCTCCAGTCACCCGGCGTGCCCGCGGATATGACAGACACTGGTCAAGTTGTTTATTGACGTTTATAAACAGCCGCGATGAAAATGCAATGTCCTGTTCATAACCACGTCACTTGGTGTGCCGCCATGATCGCTTCTCGAGAGTTTACTATCGCTTTGACGTCAACCACCCTCGGAACCCAAAAACCCATGTTCTGGTAAATGGATAATTAGAAGTGATCATGGATGACCTCTATCCTTCCGTCTAGCACTCGCCTTTTGGTTGCTCGCACCAACTGGAAAACAATCTCGGATCGCTTTTGTTAATCGACCAAGATGGCAACCTCAAGGTTCTCGACGGAACAATCTGACGATTCCAACGACTTCGTGGTACCGTGGTCATATGTAGACCCCGACATCAACGACGACGGGGATACAGAGCAACACAAAGCTCATCGGAACCAGCAGCTGTACAAGCGCTCCATTCGACATTATCGCCATGCAACAACGAAATGGGGTGCCGCACTAGAAAGCTTCAATCCATTGGTATATGGCTTTAAGCTCAGAAACACACAATATGAGAACGAGGGCTGACCTAACTAGTGGTTCGCTGTTTGCATCTCAGCAGGCGGAATTGCTCTGGTCCTGAATGGACCTTTTCCGTATCGTGGCCATTGGCTGATTGTGTTGGCTACTATCCTGTACATTGCAGAAATCGTCCTTTTCTTCACCTTCCTGGCTTTGCTATTAGCGAAGTGGATCATTTACCCACACGTGGCTGTCCGACGTGCGTTAACAGATTCGGACGAACTGGGAACTTATGCTATTCCTCCTATCGCTCTCATGACCATTGCTGCTCTTACCATTACACAAGTCAGTGAGGGTCCATGGGGCGGTCACGCTTTCACCCTGGTGGGTTATGTTGTGTGGTGGATAGGTGTTGCTTGGGTCTTCGTGACGGCACTGGTGGTTCTCTCGGTCTTATTCTATACTGGAAACCAATCTGCTAGAACCATGACTCCGGTCCTGTTCATGGCACCTGTTGGACTTGCGACCGCTGCTGCAGAGGCTGGACTGATCACCATCTATGGCGCCGAGATGTCCTCGAGACTTGCCGTGCCTCAGCTTATCGTCGGTTACTTTGCCGCGGGCGTGGCCTTTTTCATGGCAATTCTGCTTTACACTGTGTTCTTCCATCATTTACTATCTGTTGGCTGGGGCCCTGCCCCCAAACGAGCCGGACTCTTCATCTTGGTATGTGCAATGGTAGCAATAGATATGAAACCCACTTACACTACTCATCAGATTGCTCCATGCGGACAGCTTGCAACAGCATTCCAATTGCTAGGCGAATCCGCATCTGCCTACATGCGATTTGCACAGTACAAACCCTCAGCAGTCAACCCTCCAGCTCATGGTACATTCTGGACAGAATCCACCGCGCAAGGCGTTGACGGCGCTGGCATCTTCTTTGCTCTGCTTCTACTAGGTTTTGACTACCTTTGGCTCTGTATCGCCATTATAGGAGTGGCCGATATATTTGTCAAAAAGCAAGCCACATACACGTTGGTTTGGTGGGCAACGGTCTTCCCAACTGTGACTCTTACCACCGCTTGGTTGGAACTGGCTTCTTCTATGGACTCTCCTGCTTTCAGGGGCTTGGTTTGCGCCTTGACGGTATTTCTGGTCATTGCATTCTTTGTCAACTTGGGCTTCACTTTGCGGGGTCTGTTCAATGGATCATTGATCTTTGGTAAATCTCAATTAGAGATTGAAGAAGGTATGATGAAGAAGGCTCAAGATGGAGCGAAGAGCCGAAGATCAGAAGTGTAATTTCGAAAGAATAGCAGGGTAAATCGAAGAAACCACTCCTTTTCTTGTTTGCAGAGCCCCTCTTGTGCTCCCAGATTGAGTAATATGTGATGGTCGAAACATTCACATCATCTTACCACACTTGTCAAGACAAGTCTCCTTTACAAGCTTCATTCATATGCTCGAGAAGAAGGAGATCGTAGCAGAACACCTCGGCTCCGAGCTCGGCGCCGATGATCCGAGAATTCATGGAGGATCCGAGAAGACCAGGCAGCAATGGATATCAGCTCGTGTCAGCTTCGATACAGCCAAACATGATATAAAACCAAGCTTATGGAAGCTTTGTAGCAATCGATCCCGACATCAGGCTTCCTGTTTCTGCTACTTCCGCTTCTGTTCAACTCGACCAGCAATTCACGCAACTACGAACGATCAACCAACATTATGACGGGAAGCACGAATGAAAGCACAATGTTTTCTGCAATCATTACCTCCTGGGGTGAATCACCTAAATACACTCAAGTGCTCGTGCCATCGTCCAACTCAGATGAAGTTCCGGTCAAAGTCATCTGTTCAGGCCTGCATATCGTGGTCCGCTCCATCGCCAGCGGCAACCATTACGCCTCTGGAGATCTTCCCTACACCCCCGGAATCGATGGCATAGGTCGCCGCCTTTCCGACAACAAAATCGTCTACTTCATCAGCTTCCCTAGTGGTGGCTTTCAAGAGATCCTCAATGTCGAGCAAAGGAAGATGGTAGAGTTGCCCGAGGGCGTGGACCACTATCAAGTTGCTGGTTATGCCAATCCTGCATTGTCTAGCTGGATGGCATTGACCGCACGAACAAAAGAGCTACCTGAAAACTTTACTGTGCTTATCATGGGAGCCACCAGTGCTAGCGGCAAGGTTGCTGTCGAAGTTGCACGGGCTATAGGCGCTGGAAAGGTCATCGGTATGTCTCGTAACCCCAAGACATTGTCAAAAGTCGGTGTTGACGAAATGATCGTCCTTGACGACAATGTTTCGAACACCGATTGTAGTGCTGCAGCTGAAGCAGATGTCATCCTCGACTATCTGTACGGATCTGTTGCGCAACATGTGCTTTCTACTGTCAACTTTACACGTCCAGTGCAGTATGTACATATTGGAGGTCTTGCGGGCACAGAGATGGTGTTGCCAGGCCATGTACTCAGGTCCAAGGATATTACTATTCGCGGTGCCGGACCTGGCAGTTGGTCTCGCGAAGCCATGCGCCCAGAGGTCCCTAGGATTCTGAACGCTTTCAAGACGTTCAAGAAGCAGGAGGTCAAGGTTGTGCCTCTGAGCGAGATTGGAGAGCACTGGCACAACAAGAGCGAGCGCATTGTGTTCACACCTTGAAACCATCAGCATTGAAATGACGTCTCATGGAGTTGCGGACCCGCTTTGTGTCTTCTCTCAAGCTGGATATGTAGTCTCTGTTACTTGCTTAGCAACAATACATGATGTTATGAATCTTAGTATACAACAAGTGTCAGTGAGATACTACTAAAAGTTTAGCATATCCTTTATTTGCCCTTGCGCGCAACCTCGCGATATCTGCCAATCCACTCCGGTTTGCCGAAGAGTACATAGAATCTCCATGCCAGAGTAGGGGCTAGGACGGAGCTGGCAGCAAGCAAAGCATTTCTGCTCCATCCACTGTCGTCTCCATAGACGATAGCTTTGTACAGCGCGACAGCCACAACGCCAACCTCGCCAGCAGAGAGGGTGTAGTAAGTGGGCGCTCTACTTTCGATACCTCTTTTCGTGTTTGGGATACCCAAGATGAGCGGGGTAGCGAGAGCGTAAACCAGAGCACCGGTGACTTGGGTCCATGTCACTGCGGTTGGAGTGATGTCGGAGGATGAGTTCACGAGCATGCCCAGGAAACTTTGTGGGAAGAAGACCATCCATGTTCCGCCGATTGCGTTGGCCATGGTCTCGAAGCCTAGTGCATAGCGCATGACATTTCCGGGAGCGCTTGGATCGACTTCAATGTCTCCAGGGCCAGAGTTGGAGGTGGGGTCGATGTAACCGCCAGGCTGGAGTGTGTAAGGCATGTTTTGGTGATGATGTATGAGCTGTCTTGTTGGTGTATGACGGATTCTCGAACACTGTCAGTGAGCCCAAGACGGTCTGGTCTCTTGAATGTTCTCACCAAAGAGTTTGTTGGTTAATGTGGTAGAGATCGAGGTGGACGGCGCGTGGATGGTAACTATATCAATATATTGACGTCACCACAAGCTCCATGAGAGGGAGATGACCCTGCTCCTCTTGTGCTCGATGTCTTGACTATGAAAAGTTCCACTGTCAATGCATGTTGCAAAGCTTTGGCAGAAGAGACGGAGTCTTCTCAATTAAAGATGATGATTATGACCAGATAGATTGTCGAAATTGTACGGTTGTTATGCAAGTGCAAGTGCAAGCACATGGCGGGGCAGGAACGATGTCGAGCTTGAGGGGAGCAGTATGTCACGGAATTACTTCGGTCCAGCCAGACTGAGTGCTGTGTCCTCAAGCTGCACCTGTCAACTCTAGCTCGAGCATTCGACAGCATTGCTAATATCACTAGACGGCTGACAAGATGGCCGACTTTGTTAAGGGCCTTTTCGGAGGCGCAAACCCATCTCCCGTGAACGCCGCACCGTCGGCTGACTCGGGTGCGTTTCGTGTCGGCTCGAGGTCACTCAGCATCGTGTACTGACCGAGAGACTGCTAGNACTTTGCCGACTTCGCCGACGCTCCTTCTCCCAAGCCGGCATCTCTGTCGAGCACTCTCACTACCCCTCCCGCATACCAGACCTTCGGCGCAAAGATCGACATCTCGGATCGTCCCTTCACCAAGTGGTACAACGTCCACGAGCGCGTGACCTGGAGCGACTTCAAGACCGAAGCCTTCGTCGTCCCCTTTCTCTTGCTCACCATCTTCATCCACTTCTGGGGTGTCCGCGCCAACCGCCGTCGCGCCAATACCTGGATTCGCAGCCACGTCAATGTCCTCGAGAACGAGTTCGCACATGTTGGCTTTGGCAAGAAGCTCGACCTCGCAAACGTTTCTCCCGATGTTGCCATGTCTGCTGGTGACAAGATCAACCCCGAGGTTCTGCGCGAAAAGTCCAAGGACGTCTTCCTCAGTTACGCTACCGGTCGCCAGAACGTCGCTTTTGTCGACGTCAAGCTCAACCTACTGAAGCGCTACAACCCCTTCTCCATGATCGCCGAGCTCGGCCTTGGTTTCTTCTTTGAGAGCATGGCTGGTAGCGGCGAAAAGGCCGAGATCACCGCTTACACTTTTGACGGCAAGGAGGCTCAGTTCATTCCCCGCGCTCGCGGTGAGGAAGAGAAACGTTTCAAGGACACGAGCTACGACGGTTTCATCTTTGCCATTGTCAACAAGGACTCTATGAGAAAGGTGCGCGAGGAGCGTTACGACGTCTCTCTGACCACCACCAAGGACCACGCCAAGCTCCCTCCATGGGTCAGTGTCATGAGCGAGAGCGCCGAAATCACCGAGGCCCTCTTGACCCAGGAGCTGGCAAACGCCATCAAGGAGTGCGGCGACGATCTCGAGTCTCTGGTAGTCACCGACATGCCCGTGGACGCCCCCAAGACGTGATTATTCTAGATTCTTGATTTCGTTGATAAATGCTTACCTGCCTCACAGTNNCTTGACGATCTGGTGCCCAAGAAGCGTCTTACGCTCACTCTGAAGCTCAACTCTGGCACCAACACGGCCTCTCTCTTCTCGTACTTCCTTCGCATGCCCGATCAACTCGTTTCCAGCGCTCACTTCCGTCCCGAGGTCATGCGCCGTATTCGCCAAACCCGCGAGGAGGAGGGCAAGAAGGTGCGCAAGATCATCGAGGCTGAGGGCGCCGAGGACAGAAAGTTGCTCAGCGACAAGGTCAAGAAGGAGCAGCGCGACCGCAAGCTCAAGGGCATGAGCGCTGATGAGCAGAAGCGCTTCCTCGAGAGAGAAAGAGAAAAGGAACAGAGAAAGAGGACAGGCAAGCAGACGATGCGCGCCTAGAAGCCCGCCTACGCTTGATCTTCACTTCGGGACTGTGCTCACGTTGTCTTGAGCGTCCAAAAAGAGGAACACCATCGTTCTTGTATATTATTCGGTCGCAATAACACAGTGTAAAAATAAACAGATGGACTCCTCCCAGTGTTACAGAGTACGGCTGTCGGGTATCTTGACAGGTCGGCGATATGTGCATGATTAGCTGCACGGTGCCTGCAGCTAAAAACAGCCATGTTTCTCGCAAGTCAAACGTCTCACGAAGTCGAGCAAATCAAAGATGGTTTCAACAGCAGCAGTCCATGTCGATGCAGGCGTGACTAATGGTGAATAACCGAAGAGAATTGGCTGAAGATGGAGAGCATTGAAGCTAATAAGTGGGCCAAGAACGAAATTCCGGGATCCCCGTGGGCGGCGATGGCCCGGGGAGGAAGGAGGATCGGCATGGAGCGTGGAGACCCTTGAATAAATGATACGTCATATTGGAGCTATCGAGTCCTAAACAATTCCCCTGGCCTTCAACTCAAACCTTCCCAAACTCTCTCCAGCTGTCAATCTCGACAAGTCTGACTCTACTACACCTCGTTAATTACCTCGCACTTTTTCTTGTTCTAGGTGAGTGCTTGGAACACTGTCTTCTTATACTATCGATAGCTCGACATGGACACGTTGAATCCGAGTGCTACAGTATAGCTGACAGCAGAGACAGTCCGTTATCATGTTCAGCAGAAGCGTCCTTCGCCAGGCCACCCGAATGGTGGCCCCTGTCCGCCCTCTTGCCATATCGGCCAGGAACATGTCTGTCACACCTTTCATGCGTGAGGAGGAAAAGGCCCATCCAGAGGAGAAGGGTGAGCACGTTGGCTCCTTCTCCAGAACCGACGACTCGATCGAGATCCCATTTGATGAGAAGGCTGTGCCCAAGCAAGAACCCGTCCAAGGCCGTGGAGGCTTCCACTTCCAAAGAACGCTTGCTTCTTTCTCGCTCGAAGGCAAGACTGCTCTGGTCACTGGCGGTGCAAGAGGTCTTGGTCTGGTCATGGCTCAGGCACTGGTCGTCTCTGGAGCAGATGTCGCCCTCGTCGATCTCAACAGTGCGTCTCAGCAGTAACAAGTCTGGACACGCCCACGACTGACACCATCATTACAGAGGNAGGAAGCCGAGAAGCAGGCAAAGGAACTGGTCAAAGTCTTCAAGGACGAGAACCCTGGCGCCGACAGAGTCCCCAAGGTCACTGGCCACTACTGCGATGGTGAGCTTCTTCGCTCAAGGGCATAACTATGACGACTGACTTTCTGCANNGTAAGCGACGAGCACTCTGTCGAGAGCGTCCTCTCCGATGTCATCAACCAGCACGGCAAGATCGACAATCTTGTGACTTCAGCAGGCTTCACCGAGAACTTCGACGCCATTAAGTATCCCATCGACCGCGTGAGAAAGCTCTGGGGTGTCAATGTCGACGGCACCTACCTCTTCGCTACTGGTGTTGCTCGTCACCTCATGGAGCGCAAGGCCCCTGGTAGCATCGTTTTCATCGGAAGCATGAGTGGCGCCATCGTCAACGTTCCCCAACCTCAGGCTCCTTACAACGCTTCCAAGGCCGCTGTCCGTCATCTCGGCCGCTCGCTGGCTGTCGAGTGGGCTCACGCCAACATCAGAGTTAACGTCATTGAGCCTGGTTACATGGTGAGCATCAATGCAAAAAGCATTTGGAATGAGAGCTAACATGAGATACAGCTCACTGCTTTGACCGAGAAGATCTTGAACGAAAACCCCGAACTTGGCAACAAGTGGACCAGTCTGATTCCTCAGGGCAAGATGGGCCGTCCCGTAAGTCTTTCCTCCACACTGTACAACACATCGTCATGCTAATTCTTGCTGAATAGGNTCGATTTGATGGGCCCCGTCGTTTTCCTCTGCAGCGACGCCTCCAACTATGTCACCGGTGCCGACCTGCGCGTCGATGGTGGTTACACTTGCACTTAATCTTCTTGACACTGTATCGAAGAGTCCCTGCCCACCATCGAGGGCCAACAACACCCCGAACATTTCACCTCTGGGACAAAAGGCTTTTCACTGTACCAATAGCTAATGACACAATATGCATGCTACGGAGCGCTTCGTAATGGATGATGAATGGAAACCTGATTTTATGATCTTCTTTTTGCTCTACCGGCCCCTCTGTGTATTTTGAGATTAGTCGCTGTCTTTACTGACATGTGGCACAGCTATTGTTTCCTGTATCAAGAGTGTTGTCGTAGAAGTGAGGCTACGCAAAGTTTGGCCTCATGCTCTCCAATCACCAGAATTGCGCCGTTCAACAAGCGTACTATAGGACATGTTGTACGTCAGATTATCAAGTTACGCTGGTGGGATACACTTTCCTGTTATTGATGAGTGTCCAAGAGCTCCGCTGACTTTGTGACAATAGTACACAGAGCTTCCTTGACCATGAGTCTCCCAGCCAAGATTTAGCAAATTACTCCTCGCCTGGTTGGTCTTTGCAACTGATCGAATACCCTTGGACAGCAACTCGGGTCACATTGTCTTTTCTTATGCCAAAGCAGGCACGTGTAACAGCATGCGGCGGTGCCAATACTGGAATCGTGCACGCCTAGCCCTGTGCCCAGCACACAGCCAATGCATTTCTATCGACCCGTGCAAAATCATGATAAGTCGTGAATTTTCATACGCACGAACAAGAGAGTGGAAGATCTCATACGGTAGCCATTGATGCGTTTGTGCTTACCGTAGGCAGTAAACACATGATCACTGTTTGCAGAAGAAGCAAGGTTGCTATGCGTTTCTCCCTGGCCACGTTCATCAAATACTTTGGTGCGTGCGTTCGCGTGCACGAAGAACGATTTGAAGATAGAGGTGGTGATGCGTTTGCACCGAAGGATAGGCAGAGAGCGCAGGAACATCGCACATGGGAGAGAAAAAGTTGTTATGCGTTCACTCCTGACCACGTTCAGGATGCGTTGTGTCTCTTGCAGTCGCATGCAAGACGGAAAAATCGATAAATGCCATTCAATGGCCTGGATTGCCTCTCCCTCTTTTGCAACAACAAGTGTCAGTTCTTCTTAGAAGCAATTAAAGCTCTACGACACCTTTTGTTAGTTCGATATCCACTTCCCTTCCACCACTTCTCGACTATCATTAGGCTATGGATCAGACTCGTAGGGTCAATCGAGGATTACGATACCTCTGTCTGGACCAGTACAAAGATTCAACACCCGAACTTATCACAGCCAATATCATCAAACTTCGACTGCTGCGAGCATTTGATCTGGATGTGGTGCATCTCCCAGCTCACCCTGGTTTCCCACATGATGGAGCAATCCGTATACCACAGGATCCCTCGGAACCAGAACGCCTTATATGGTTCGACTTTACGATCCTGCTCGAAGATAAACCTGGAATCGCAAGTCGCTACGGAACGATGACAATGGCTCAAGTTGGCAATGCATCGCCGCCAGCCTTCTATATCGTCATCTTCCCAAACTCTCCCAAGTATATGGCTATTGTGCCACATGCTGTTGCCTGGCAGGAAGCAGAGTCTGATTCCCTTGATATAATAGCCACTGGCATAACAGGTCCTTACTTTCCATACCTGATGCCAGAAGATCTTCTATCCTTGGCTCTTAGAGGAATTTCAATGATTCCTTGGGGAAGCTTATATACCAATCCTGGGACTGGAGTGGTGCTCAAACGTTGGTTTCCAGTCATGGCAGAGTCACGGAAAGTTTCGCCAACCATCCCTCTGGTCTTAGAAACTCCGTCTTTGCCGCCACGCCCTTCGAATAGCGCAGGCAAGAAACGGCGTCGTGATTCTGACGACAACAATGACTCTTCAAGATTGGCTCCTGCGTTGAGAGAAAGAGAGGCGCAAGCGACGATGGCTTCAGTCGGGGTTGCTGACTTCGGGTTTGATGCCAGTTGGATAGAGCACGATNTTTTTGGCTTTGACTGGCCGCTGCCTAACCAATCGCTGCTCTCGGTCTTGCCAGGCACTGTTGCTGGTCCTTTACTTAAGGCAGGCGTTGCGGAAGGTCAGCAATCGCTTGAGCATATATATCCATACTCAACTCTATTCGATGCGCCCATCATCAATGCTGGGACTACTGGCGAGGAACTTGGTTATACGGAGTATAATCTCTCTGAGATGTGGTTGACCGGACTTGAGGCAACTGAGGAAGGAGCTAAATGTAATGCTGGGTCAAGAACGCTCTTGCCGGCTTCACAAATCGACCCTGCGACTACTGTTGATGCACAACAGTACAGGCAAGTTGCAAGTCTGAGAGCGATCGCACCTGCCCCTTTGGCTGTTGAAGCCGGTCCGAGCCACATCTCTGCAGCCACAGCACCTGCTGATTCTCCTTTCGAGCCTCGTCATTCTTCTTCAGCGCTGATTCCCTCCTCGGAGGCAGGAGCTACCGGGTCTGAGTCAGAAGAAGAAGAGGAAGAAGACGCCCCACCGCGTCGACTCATCGAGTTGTATCATGAACATCCATGGTGCAACCATATATACTTGCCTCCCTCTACCCAAGATGTACTCACCCAGCTCCTCGCACCAGACACCGTCTGCCTACCCGTCATCACGAATCCCAGCGATACCGTTGACGGCAAACCCATGCCTCTTTCTGTCCTCTCGATCGCACACCCTTGTCTTCACGTCCTGTCAAGCCGCTCTTCGCCCGACAAGTTCTTCTTGCTCCCCAGCCGCTGGGTGGATTTCTTCCACTGCAGTTTGAACCAACTGCTCAACAGCACTCAAGGAGATAGCAAGAGATCGGCTTTACGTGGCATCAACAAGATCGTTACGGAGAACCCTACTGTGCGTGATGCGTTCAAGAGGTATGGGATCGATGGCGTCAATGGAGGAGCAGAGTTGAGTTGGGGATTGTGGGATGCATGGATAAGAGAGTTCAGGAGAGGGACTCCGTGTGGGATGACCAGGGAGGAGGACAGAAATGCTTGTTGTTCGGTTAGAGAAGTGCTGCAGGTTCAGGTTGATTGGTCGATGCGGATGTTTCCTGATTCGTTGATGTGAGGATTATGCTGTTGGACTTCGCGAATGTGCGGATTAAGGTTATACATGGGAAGGAATTACTGATGTTGTGTTGACATGTATATATCAAGCAGGAAAGCTCTGCTTCTTCTGAATGGGGTGTAATCTTGCTGGGACGGTTGCGTTGTTTGTATATATATGCTTGTAGTATATACAGATGCGAATGGGTCTCTGTCTGCTTGCGATCGTATGACTTCTGCTTGGTGCTTTTGTGAATGAATATGGGGTGGGATTAGACTGAAGCACGTCACAATGTTGCATTCGTTGAGGTGTCCAGAGAGAGAGCCTTCTTCAATTGACGCCCACTTTAGACATGTCTCGAATCACAACATCAGGAATCATGTATTTCAGCAGACCCCTTTTCGTCCATCTCGTCCTGTCGAGATGAGTACGCTGGTTACAGCTACATCATCAAAATAACAGATCTTTCACTGCATGGCCTGCCTACCCCTGAGCTGCCTTCACTCACCCTCTCACTCACACATGGCTTTATAGCGAAGCAAATGATATACTTTTTCAGAGATCGGTCCTTTACATAAATCTCTCCCAAGTAAGAGCATAAATAGAATCCAGTTCGACTCGCCCCTTGGTGGATCGCCTTTGGTCGAATAAGATGTTTCCCATTCACTGGTTTTTGCTCTTGGCAGGTAAGTTTTGTCTTTGTATATACGTGATGTTCAATCTTATCACAAGTCTAATGTTGTACAGCGTGATCGATACATCATGCTCTACTTTCGTCTACCTTATCCAAGCTCTTATGACTGGGCAGGGAAACCAATACCGAGGAGGAGAGCCGGCTCGTCAACCTTGTGGTGAGAGTAACTCAACACACCAACACCGCCGGGTTCCATCATCAAGTTGAGGTTCATGTCTAGAGGGTAGCCTAACCATCTCTTGGCGAAACATCTCGTGAGATGGCCGTGAGCGACCAGAACAACATCACAAGGCTGTTCGCCATTCATGTTGGGACCTTGCAGTTCTCTGATCTTGACAATCAACTCATCAATACGTGCAGCCACCTGATCAGGCGACTCGCCATCCTCGCATCCATCACGCCAGATATCCCACTTGCGCTCGGTGTCCAAGCCCTTGGACTTGCGCAAGTCATGAATCTCGGCGGGCTTGAGGCCTTCATAGGCGCCATAATCCCATTCACCGAGTTGCTCGGTGGTCTGCACTTTGCCCTGATCTCTGAGGGCAGCTTCTTGCTCGTCGCCAAAGAGCAGGGAGAAGGTGTGCTGAGCACGCGTGCGAGGAGATACCCAGCACATACCGATTTTGGAAGGGTCGATGAGTTTGTTGTTTCCGACGGCGATGGCGCCGGTGCTGCGGACTTGAGATTCGCCGTGTGCGGTCAGGGGGATGTCGGTTTTGCCTGTGTGCTTGCCGGACATGGACCACTCGGTCTCGCCGTGGCGGATGAGGAAGACACGAGGAGTGCCGGCGTCTTTGTCAGGCATGTTTGTGGTACTGTCAATGGTCAGTCGGAGTTCTGATACTAGGTTTTGGAATGTGTTCAATGTTGACAAGAAGATCCCATGGATAGTCAGATCAAAAGAACATTGAAAAACTATACAGCCTTGTTGGTTCTGCTTGCTTCTTGACTGAGAGAACCGGTTGATCCGGAGCGTGTTACTACATGAACTATAGAATAGCAACCACTGAAACGTTCTTGAGATGTGTACCAGAATAAAGTGCAAGGAACACTTTCCACCTCTTTACAGATCAAGACACAAGACGGAAAAACTGAGAAAGATTATATGAGACGTCACTTACAGGTATAGAAGATAAAGATGTGATTTGGGTGCTAGAAAAGATAGAAGATGTATCGAGGTGCAAGCACAAAGGTCAACGAAATTATGTGCACAGACCATTCTGCATGACGCCGAGCACAGATTAGAGTTTGAAGCTAGCGACACCTCCCTGAGTCTTTCGAAACCTCTTAGAGATGCTGCATCATTGTGCGTACTTTATACGGTGTCTCTTCGAAGCATCTTCAACTCGGCTGGCAACAGATATACAGTCTCGGATCGAAAGGAACATCATTTGCGTTATCAGGGAGTCCGGCCTTGTTTGCCAGAATGGTTCAATTCAACAAAGATGGGGGCTCGAGCTCATCCCCGGTATTGACATCCACACTATGGCCATCGGCATGATCGCTCTCGTTGTTGTGAGCGTAGTGACGCTCTGGTTCTATGCCAACTACATCTACGACGAGGATGCCGCTCGCGCTTTGACAGCCCGCAAGAAACCTGTTTCGACTGAGATTGTTTCTTTGCGCATCTACCCCATCAAGTCATGCCGTGGTATCGAAGTGCAGGATACCAAACTTCACAAGACTGGACTGGACTTAGACCGCCATTGGATGTTCGTCGACGCAAAGAGCCGCCAATTCCTGACAATTCGCTCGGATCCTTCCATGACTCTGATTGATACCGGCCTCAGCGGCGATGGAAAGAGCAAGTGGACAGACTTGCATATCAGCATCCACGACACCGACAAGCATATCAAGATACCTTGCTACCCCACTAGTGAATGGTTGGAAGAGAACACCAAGCTCACCAAGGTCGAGATCTGGGGCGAGAGCACTGATGGCTGGGAGTACAGCGATGAGATCAACTCGATGTTCAGCGAGTACTTCAAAAAGCCCGTTGCCCTGATCTACAAGGGTCCCACTCCTAGAATCGCTCGTGGCAATGCCACCCCTGAACTATACGGCAAGGAGCAAGAGCATCACTTTGCCGATCTCATGAGCGTCCAAGTCGCTTCAGAGGCTTCCCTGACCGACCTCAACTCCAGACTCGAAGCTGCTGGCCACGACAAGCTCACCATCGAACGCTTCAGACCCAACATCATCGTCAAGGGAGACAAGCCTTGGGACGAGGACAGCTGGAAGAAGGTGTGCATTCGTACTACTGATCACCAGCGTGAGGCCATCTGGAAGACCCACCTTGACGTCTTGTGCCACTGTGCTCGCTGCCAGGTGCCCAACGTCAACCCCGACACGGCCGAGAAGCACGCTCACGAGCCTTGGGACACACTCATGAAGTTCAGACGTATCGACCAGGGTGGAGTGGCCAAGTACAAGCCTTGCTTTGGTATGCTGTGCGTTCCCACAAGCGAAGGACCGATTGCTGTGGGTGCTGCCCTCGAGGTCTTGGAACGCACAGACAAGCATTTGTATAACACGTCCAAATTCGAGGATCTATAGTGTGGCTATCAGTAGTCTCATGTATCTATTCATGCAAGGAGACGCAGAAGCTTAAAAAGTTGTCATGTAATTTTTCTTGTCCATAACCCCATAATCGAAGAGAGCCCAGAATGCAAGTACAGTAGAAGGGAAAATATTGTACAAGGGTATATACGGCGTGTTTGGCATTTCTACCACGAGTACCACTGCCTCTGTCCCTGAATAGGGCGGTCGGGCAAAGGAGTCCAGACCTTGGCTTCACGCTGCTTCTTTCTCTTGTCCTCGCGCTCATTGTATTGTCTGACTCTGGTGGCCTCCTCCTTCAGCACCATACCGATATGTGTCCAGGGAGTACGCAGAATGTTGATCTTGCCCTTTGCACGGTACTCGGGCAGCTTTCCGTACGGGCCTCTACCGACCCATGCTTGGTCAATGTACATTTTCGTAGGGTCTTCAACAGTGTGTCTCTTGCCGTCCTTGAGGCGAATGTCGACGGGCTTGGCTGAGTCGGCTACGGTGGGCTGGCCGAGACCCATACCACGGGCGACAACAGCCTCATCACGGGCGTACTCGAGGTAGTTGAGGACTGGGATGGCGGCCTTCTTCTTGCTGAAGCGCAGTTGGACAATGGCGTCGTCGACGGTCTTACCGGCGATTTGGCGTGCAATAGGACCCAGCTTCTTGATGCTCGTCTTGATGTTCTCGCTCTTGCCAACGCTTTCTCTCTCGGTGCGCTTGATGAACATTTCCTTGTTCAAGCGACCACCCTTGCGAATGTCGCGGATGGCCATTTTGCGCTGCCATCGCTCGCGTGCCACGGGGTGGGGGTCGAGGATGGTAGCCATGGCACCTAAATTACGACCGCCAACTTCGGTCGCGTCCTTCTCGTCCTGGCGTTCCTGTACCTGGCGTTCGCCTTCGAAGATGGATGTTTCGGCGAGGTCACCACGCTGCAAGCCTTCGGCGCCTTGCTTGGTCGGCTTCCTCTTGAGGTACTGGTCTAGTACGGGGTTCGTCGCTTGGCCGGGCCTGGAACTTAGATTGCTGTCGTCCTTTCTCTTGCCAAAGAAGCCCCAGATGGAGCGGCGTCCGAGGGTTGACGGTGTTGTCGAAGAAGGCGCATGGAGACATTGGAGGCCGCCNTGCTCCACTCATCAGTAAAGGGTACCCCTAGAAGAGTTGAACGGCATGTTACCATTCTGCAGCAGTCGCCGTGAAGGCGTACGGGCACTCATTGTGTGTGATGTGTGCGTCTGGCCTTGTCGTCGGTCAGGTTGGTGAATCTCTAGAAACTTGCCCGACGCTGCCAAGCATTGCACCGCCGATCCGCCCTCCATGACTTTTCTGCTCGGAGCATTTTCGAGAATTGATAATCAAGGCCTGATACTCTGACTCTTCATCCTGCTCTTGTCCATCTACAAAACAGCTCGTTTGTCCAATCAGGCACACGATCTGTTACCTCTTTGCCGAGCTGTCTACCTTGTGTCGCACTTCGAGATCTTCAGAAGTACACCTTCCTCTCACGCTGATTGGACGGTCAACCGTTACGGAGTACACGCTCCCAGGATCGCAAACTCCTGTGTCCAAATTGTAGAGAGGACGACCTCCCGCTTGCTTCACCCTCTCAATCTCTCCTCCCTCGCTTCTGTCGACCCTCTTCTAGAAGCCAAAGAGCCTACGACGCCCCGCTCTGATCCTTCTCGTCGAAACTTGAACCGCCTGTCGCAGATTGCCCTGTAGGAGTGGTCCTTGTTTGGACAGCGGAGCTACTTCCTGCCATCCCTCTTGTCCCATTTTAAGTGGTGTTAGCTAGTGCGGGCCGGCCATCTTTTTGTATCTTTAATAATTTGATCCATATTGTCGGATCCGCATTACTGTCCACCATGGATATCAATGCCTTGCTGTCGCCATCAGAATCGCCGGCTAAACAACAACCTTCACCACAGCCGAGACCAAGGGTGCAACCACGTCCTGCCGGTGGCAGACGTACTGCATCGGGCCTCAGCAATGAAATCTCCATGACTTCGCCGCCGCCTGAGCCGCCGCGTTCGGCGCCCGCACTAGGACAGGATTCTACAACCCAACATCAGAGGAACGCATATGCCTCCGCATACAATGGCCCCCAGGATATGAGGAATTTCAGGAGCAACCACGACGCGCCGGAAACGAGAAATGCCCATGGAACGCCACAGACCTACCGACCACAACTTCAGTATGTCTCCGGTCGGCACTCGTCGACGCCGCAGATGGAGACTTTAGCAGGTGCGATTGTCCCGGTCACATGACGCAACTGCCTACAAACAAGCTGATTTTTGACATTGTTTCCAGATCTTGCTTCGATGCAACATCACCAATTGCAAAGAAAACACTCCCTTATCGACGCACAGCTGCCATCAATGTGAGTTGTTTTCCCATCACTTGGCTTCTTTAACATTGACACATTCGCAGCANACCGCCGCACGAGCTTTGCTCCTCCACTTGCCCGCTCTGCACTCTCTTCCTCTCAGGTCGCCATGGCTGAAGCCCCGGCACAGACGCCCGAGCCGCGTGCCTTCACGGCCGCTTCACTGACCGAGCAGGAGATTCAGACCATCACCGAACTGGTCAAGTACTTGGCCGAAAACTCTTACGCTTATGACTCTCACGTACAACTCATCAACCTACTTCACAAAGGTTTCGTCGCCCATGTCTACGGTACTTCGAACGTGGTCATCAACGACCCAAGAGATTACAATCTTCTCCCTGATATGCGGCAAGCACGTGAGGCCATGGACTCTCGCTTTGCTGTTGGAGAAGACATCTGGAAAGACTGGATTCACGATGAGGCCATTTTGGCCCGTCAGAGCGAAGAACGCGTTGCCGTCATGGACTTGTGCCAGAAGGCTGTTCAGGACGAGCCTACTAGTGTCACGATCTGGTCCATCTATGGCGAATGGGTCATGCAGACATATTCTATCGCCAATGGTTTCACTGAGGGAGACCCTAACGTATGGACTGACATTGACAAGGAAATTTGCAAAGAAGTCTTCAGTCGCGACATCTGCTTGAGTGTGTGGGAGAGGGCCGTCGAGGCTACAGCTTGGCGTATAGACGAGAGCCATCGTATATGGGATCGTTACATCGACCTTGTACTACAGGAGTTTCCGGAAAATCCATCTTCTCAGGCAATAGAACACGTCAACAACATGTTCATGCGCCGCCTCCGAACCCCGCATGCGAACTGGTCCGAGACTTCTGCTAAGTTCTGGCCCATCGTCTCGAAATTCAATGCAAACAACTGGGAAGAGATCATGGCTGCTACCAATGAGATGGCTGCCCCTGCAAAGCAACAGTTCACACTTCGAGAGTCACACGAGCTGAACTTGCAGCGAGCAGCCGAGTCTGGAGACAGCGTCGCCCTTTACAACGCCTTTACCGAGTACCTGGTTTGGGACCGAAAGAACAAACGTCGCTCGCCGTTTGACTTTGAGCTGCGATGTTCCCTGTACGAGAGGGCTCTATTGCGCTTCCCTACAGTCATTGAGTGGTGGCTCGACCTTGCCGATTTCGTGTTGAAAACCAACTCTAACAGCCCAATCATCTTGACAATTCTGGAAAGGGCCACCAGGCATTGTCCATGGTCTGGTGATCTGTGGTCAAGACGTGTCCTTCGCGCCGAAGTGGACAAGCTCCCCTACGACGAAGTTGAGCAGGTCAAGCACAAAGCTACCAACAGTGGTCTTCTCGATATTGGCGGCATGGAAGAGGTCCTCAAAGTCTATTCTTCATGGTGTGGTTACCTTCGTCGCAGAGCTTTTGCGCCGAACAATACCGATGATGAGATCGATATGGCCGATATGGGCATTACAGGTACTCTCGAGGATGCCACTGTTGCTGGCAAGAAGATATACGGTAGTGAATACAAAGGAGATCCTCTGTTCCGTCTGGAGAAGATCCGCGTCAAGTTTCTTCTAGAAGCCCGACGGTTTGAGGACGCGAGAATGGTCTTTAAGCGATTGAAGACTACCCATGCTGCTAGTGCCGATTTCTGGCTTGCTTGGCATCAGTTTGAATCCTTGATATGGGCTCACGAGCGCATGTCTGAGGCGGTTCGCATCGAGACACCTGAAACAGCGCCCACAGATGCCACCTCCGTCCTGCGCGAAGCCCTAGATCAAAGAAACCTCGACTGGCCAGAAAAGATTCTTGAGGTCTGGTTAAACCACTTTTCCCAGCATGAGACTCCTGAAGCATTGCAATTAGCTCAGGCGGACGCTCGTACTGCACAATTCTTCCTGACTCAAAGACGGGCAAGAGAGGCGGCCGATGCTGCTGCTTCTGCTGCTGCTGCCGCCGAAACACAGGCTCAAGCGAATGGTCTCGAGACTGTCTTGGAAGAAGCGTCAACCACATCTAAGAGGAAGCGTGAGAACGAACCAGAGCAAGAAGCCGAAGACGCTGTTAAGAGAAACAAGACGGGAGGAGATACATCCAACCCGCCATACCACGAGGTATCAGCTTCGGCCTCAGCTCAAATCAAGCGCGATAGAGAGCACAACACGATTACTGTCAAGGATCTGCCAAACGATGTTACAGAAAAGCGCGTGCGACAGTTCTTCAGCGACTGTGGAACCATTCTTTCTGTTGGTATAGTAACTGACGATAACTCGACGACGGCGCACGCCACCCTCGAGTTTGAGAACGAAGAAGACACACTTTCTGCCAAGACCCGGGATGGAAAGTTTTTCGACGGCAACACCATCCGCATACAGTCTGGAACACTATCGACTCTTTACGTGACCAATTACCCTGCCGAGTGGGATGAGGTCAAGATTCGCGAGCTGTTCAAGGATTTCGGCACCGTTGTCAGTGTCCGCTTGCCTTCACTTAAGTACAACCAGCGACGCCGCTTCTGTTATGTGCAATTCCTCACACCCGAAGAAGCCCGTGCTGCCACGGTATTGGATGACAAGGCCATTGACGGTCAGCACCGTCTTCTTGCTAAGATCTCCGATCCTGATGCCAAGAAGGAGCGTTCGGGCGCTGTGACAGAAGGTCGAGAGTTGCACGTTGCTAACATTGACTTCAATGCTACGGAGTCGGATATTCGCGATTTGTTCAAGCAACACGGTATTGTTGAGAGCGTGCGTATGCTCAAGAACCTACAAGGCAGATTCTTTGGCACGGCATTCATTGTTTTCTCCAAGTCTGAGGAGGCCGAAGCGGCGCTGGTGCTCAACAACAAACCGTTGAAAACTCGCCTTCTCCGCGTCACTCTTGCAACGGACAAGAGTTCAGCCAAGAAGGACATTGCGACCACGGTCATCCAACAAACCACAAGCGGATCTCCTGCGCCTGATGGTAACGAAAACGGCTCTGCCGAAGCAGCAAAAGGACGCAGAGGATCGACCGCTCCACCCCAGGAGCTCAATGACGAAACTGCCAGGACGGCACGTGAGCGCAAGTTGGCTCTGCTCAATCTACCCGACACAGTTAATGATGCTCGCATCCAAGCGTTCCTCGAGAACTTCGGTCCACTCCGCAAGATCACCGTGCGCCGCGACAAGGCAGGCGCCATGGTCGAGTTTGTAAACCTCCAAGATGCTGGCAAGGTCGGTCTTGGAGTAGATTGTACCNCTTTGGGCCCAGAGGTACGCATCGGCACTGTCGATGACCTTCTCTACAAGTCAAAGGCCAAGCCTGCGTCCGCTCAGAATCCTAAGCCTGCGACTTCGTTCAAGCCTGCTCAAGCTGGCATCTCGAGGCCTGCACAGAGGAGCGGCCAGGGCAGACGCGGAGGACTCGGTTTCAAGCGCGGAGGTGCACTTTCCGTTGGCTCTGGAGCTGCAAGGTCACCCGAAGGAGAAGACAAGGCCATGAGCGGTACTGGCGAGACTGAGACCAAGGCAAAGAGCAACAATGACTTTAGGGCAATGTTTAACAAGGGCAAGGAGCCCGATGCCGCCGCCGGAGAGAAGGAAGAATAATTAGCACAAAAGGTCGAAAAGCATTGAACAAAAGGAGCAAAAGCAGGAAGCGAGAAGTGGAAGTCATATTAGCAGAAGGTGCGTGGTAAACTAATAATTATATCCAAAGTGTTGCAAACACGAAAAAAGCTTCTCTTGATCAACCACCTCCGAACATCGAAAGGAAAAGAAGAAAAGGCACATTGGCTTGAACATTGAACACTGTCTTTTTTTCAATACAAGAATCTTCTATCTAGCTTGCAAGAATACCTCGTTCCTATGTGGATATCTGAGTTTTGATGACGCTAGAACATGGACCTCATTATCCCTCCAGTTTTTGGTTAGCGACAGAGATGTGGAATAAACAATGCAAATGCCCCAAATGCTTTGCCCCTGATGTGAAAACAACGCCCAAGAGAGGAAAACCGCACATGAAAACCCTCTGTGTCAGTCGGACTGCGACCGAAAGGCCCCCGAAACAGGTAGGCGCGAATAATGAGAAGAGAAGAAGGGGAAGAAAGATACAACAGAAAAATGTTTGGGTTCGCCAAACAACGACAAGATCAGGCGCCTTGGGCCAACTGCACGATGAGACTGCTAGCCACATCCATGAAGGGGAAGGGACTTGAAATGTCCTTTTCCTCGGGTATACATCCACAGCCCATGTATCCCTCATCCATGTCTTCGTCGTCGTGGTCTTCTTCGCGCCAAACATCAGACGCCTCACCATCAGCGTGCGTTTTGATTTCGCGTCTCAAGCGACGTACGAGGCGTTCGTAGCCAGCGCACTTGAAATCGACCATGAAGCTATCTTGCTCGATGCAGTACAATTGAATGGTTACGTACACCCAAGCGCTCTCGTTGGGTGCGGGATGACGGCGACGCAGACTTTCTTGGCCAAAGCTGCTGGGGCCTGTGGCGGCGATGTTATCGGTGGACGCGTGGGCACTGCCGTGGACACTGCTTGGTTGGACGGGTGAGTTGAAACCTGCGGGTGAGGCTGCTAGACTAGTGCTGCTTCCCATTGTTGAGCTGCGGCGACGGATTCCTTCTTGCAGGTCCACACGGCTAGAGTGTGTTGATGATGGGTGTGCTACGCCGGGCGGGAACATGCCATCCTTGCGGAATCTTGCGTTGATGATCCAGGGGTCTTCGGGGATTTTGTAGCCCCAGTCATTCTCAGGTCCAAGGGGTTCACGGATATTTGACTTGCGGCCTTGGCTGCGAGACAGTTCTTCGCCGAAGCCGTCGTCTGACATGTCTGATGCGTGTCCACCACGAGAACGGCGTCTAGCACGTTCTTCATGAGTAGAGTATTCGGGATCAGTACCAGCCTCTGGGTCCGAGTCGGAATATTCAGGACTTTGACTTCCGTCTCTGGCATGACGCCGGCGGTTCCGTGGCGGGCTTCCTTCGCCATGGCCAGGACGACGCACGACAGGAGCTTCCCAAACAGCGTTCATCGCCTTTAGTGCTTTGTAAATGGCTAGCATGGCTTCTGAAGGACTATTGCGACTGCGAATACCGAACTGCCATTTGGTTGGTTTGATCTTCTTGGCGTCCTTGTTGGGCAGAGGTGTCATCATCTCAGGCTTGTCTCGGCCTCCTATCTGATTTCCCTTGACATGGGGTCTCAATCTCTTGAGGACGGCAGCACGTTGTTCGGACGTGAGCTCTTTGCCTTCGCCTCCAGGCACACTGTTGGGAGCATACGGATCTAGTTCACCTTCTGGGATAGCAGCTCTGGGGGTAGTACCCTGCATGTATGCTTGATGGAAAGAGGGAAGTGAAGAAGGTAGTATACCAATCGTCGTCGCAGGAGTGCGAGCTTCGTGAGCAGAGCTGGTAGAACCGTGACGAGGATGCTCGACATTTGAGGCTGGATTAGATGTTCCAGGGGCAGGATGGCGAGCATTTGGTGGCGAAGTGACGGTGGTTTGGAAGGTCGGCGGCGATTGAGCAAGCCATGGCTGCAGATCGGGGTTGTGTGCGAGCGAGGGGTTAGCTTTCATGATTGTGTTTTCACGCACAATGAGGTAGGCGTCTTTGATGGCGCTGGGCTCATCCTTAGCGAGGGCCTCGGTCACATCGTCCTTTGCGTATCCCATAGTCTTGCCTAGCTTGCCTACTACACTCTCGTGCAATTTCTGTTGCACAACTGCAGGCTTCGTAGGGGCCAGTTTGGCTGGGTCAATTGATCTATTGGGGTCAATGCCCTGATCCATGAACTCCTCAACAGGCGGTGTCAGGTAGTCGGGCAGCTCCTTGAGGAACCACGGGTCGAGCTTAATCTCGTCAATGGTGATGCGGGTGACAGGGCTGACTTGCAGCATTCTCTTGATCAGACGAGCGGCGCCGGACGAAATATAGCTTGGCGTATGATACGTGCCGGACTGAATCTTCTTAAAAAGCGTCGGGATGTATTCATCGTCAAATGGAAGGCGAGCGCAAAGCAGTACATAGAGGATAACACCACAACTCCAGACATCGACCTCTGGACCGGCATATAGCTTACCACCGACGACTTCAGGGGCTGCATAGTTCGGACTGCCGCAACTAGTCTTGAGGAAATTGCCATCGGTCATGATGTTACTCAAACCAAAATCAGCAATCTTGACATTGAGAGCGTCATCGAGGAGCAGGTTCTCGGGCTTCAGGTCACGGTGGACAATCTTGTGACGATGACAGTACTCGACGGCGCACACGATCTGCTGGAAGAACTTGCGAGCCTTGTCTTCGGGCATGCGTCCGTGGTCGAGAATGTACTGGAACAGCTCACCGCCGGCGTACTCGAGGACCATGATGATCTCCTTTGGGGTTGTTATGACGGTGTAGAGCTTGATGATGTGAGGATGGCGCAGCAGTTGCAGGTATTGGATCTCGCGTTCTATACGGCCAGCCATGTCGCGAGTGACGAGCTTCTGGCGGGAGATGATTTTGAGGGCGACTTTCTGGCCGCTGACCTTGTGGACGGCCAGCTTGACCTTGCCGAAGGAGCCCTCGCCCAGTGTTCTGACAATGTCATATTGACCCAGGCGTCTCTTGTTGGTAGCAGGAGGAGCAGGTTGTGATTTTGAAATGGCAGCCAAAGCAGTGGGCGGATTTGAGTCGTCGGTTTGTGAGCCATTGGTCGGGCGACGGGTCATGGAAAGCGAGAGGTCATCGTCGTCGAAGGCCTGAGCCATGATGGGCGGAGCGGCGTCGTGGCTGCTCGGCCAAGGTTGTGGGAGGAGACGAGGAAGCGACGAGTCGAGGTCGGGAGTAGTTTACGAGCGAGATTGTTGAGGGCGCACTAGGTGTCGGAATGTGCTGTGATGTCGACGGATGGATGTCGCAGCGGGTAGGCGCCGACGTCGCACTTGAAGCCTGGCAACGTGGCCGTCGTTGCTGTGAGGGTGGTCGACTGGGATTGGAAGTGCTTGGCTAGGGTTCCGTGTCGTGACAGCAGATAAGAGGTTGACGTGCTTGGTGGGTTGTGTTTCGAGGTGGGCGCATAGCAGCAAGCAGCAAGCAGCGATTAAGCGGAGGAGCCGTCCCCTCGTGTCCCTCGCTGCTCCCCCAGCGCACGGACCCTATACCGATGTCATCACGAGACTCACGAGACTGCCCGCCTGCTCTCTCGATTCGTTCATCTTTGTTCTGTTCCTTTGGCTAAAGCGAGAAGCTCCCTTTCCGGCCTGTGGCAGCTTCCCCCCTGTCAACAAAGTGCTGCATCCACGTACTCTGGGCTCTTCAGCTGCTCTTTCCGTCGGCTGATAAGCCTTCGTCTTCGGCCAAGCTGCCCCGCAAAGCACCCCTCACCCATCGAGCAACTGCCCAATTTCCAGAATTTTCGAGCAACTCCTGTCGACAGAACATATCCTTCTAAACCAGCACACAGTTACTGCATAGGACACTATCAATTCCTGAGAACAAGCTCCACTGTCATGCTTCTGCCGTGCTCGACTGACATTGCATATGCAATGTACCCACTCTGCATAGCATTCTTTCGGCTGTGTCTATCAACTCTTGTCATGCTCCAATCAACCATGTCCATCTAGCCCTGTACACAGCATGTCCAAGTACCTGCTTCTCTTTATTTACCCTTCTCGGCCTCTAATTGCTTGAGTCGTGCAATGAGCTTTTCACGAAGGTAAGGGCTGAGTCCAAGNACTATACCCGTGTCAGCATATCCATCTCGCTCGGCACTGCTTCCGCCCTGTACTTACATTCCCTCCCGTGTGACGCATCTGTATGTGCCGCTCTCTTGGTAGCTGCCGTTCTCGCCCACAAAGTTGCCGACTGCGTCAACCTCGAGACTGCCGAATATGTCCTCGGGCCAAGCGACGCGACCATAATCTGGTGGGTTCCTCTGATCACTGACGTGAATGTGGCCTCCTCTTCCTGCTCCTCCCGCGCCGCCCTGAGCAGATGCTCCTCCAGCTCCATCACCGCCAGCGCCGCCTCCTCCACCATATCCTGCACGTCTCTTGCTACGTTTGTGTTGCGTCTGAGGGAAGAAGACACCTCCCGAACCTAACGATGATCCAGATGAGCTGGCATATGCTTGAGCTTGTCCAATGACTTCAGGATCCTTGGTCGCATGCTCTCGTATCACAGATTGTAGGACTTTCATGAATGATTGATTCTCGCGCAACGAGTCCGGCGTGGGTGGGATTTGCGAGGTGACACCGATAGCAAGTGACCCTGTGGGAGGCGACGTGGGCAGGAAAGAGAGGACATTGACAGTAGGCGACTGCGGGTGTACATANCTAAGAGGTCGTGTCAGTCGGACGACCTGACTGCCCTCGTTTCTTCAACGTACAATGTGGGGGTTGTTAGGGAGAGTAGAAACGGATCGGCGACATGCCGAGAAGGCTGGCGACAGTATTGTCCGTCTGCATTGTGTGAGAATCATCTTGTCTGTGAGTCGATGTTTGAGCATGGCCGGACCAAAAGGTCGACCTGAAGATGGAAGCTCTGACCACTCGCTCGCGGCATGACGTTCACGATGTCCCGTGTCGGCGCTTGCTTTCCCAAGCAGCAGCGATACTATCTCCGGCCACTCAATCTAGACAGAGCATGGTCGTACGTCCGGACATGAAACTAGAGGATCGGAGTAAGACTGCGATGCCTAACATGTTTGACCGACAAGGAGGGAAAGAGTTTGGGAGCTGCCAGAAGCCATCGGACAAGCACAGCTCCAAGGGCGGTCTACGGCCATGTCAAGAACAACGCTACGGCACCGCCGCACCGGCGCGGAGATTTTTGCAGGGAAAGCTTCCAAATGAGGCTTCTGCCATCAGATGAACAACCGCAGAACTTCCTCCCCAACCATACACCGGATTCGCTTCGGACAAACTCTGATATAACGAGCTCCTCCTGCTCAACGTGACTCATCCTTCGGCCAATTGTCCAGATATACACTCGACCCATAAAGTGGGAGCATGCTGCGCTAAGAAGTAGGCAAAAGTTTTATCTTATCAATCTGCTTCTGCCCCATCTAGACTTGTCTTCCATCGGCTTTTTTCTCGACACAAATAGTCATACATTCAACTCGCACTCATGGCTGGTTCACGAGAGCAAGCTGCGGCCATGGAGCTGGCTGGTTACAGCTCAAAGGAGGCACCAATTATTGATGACCAAGAATTGGGACCAGAAGGCGCTGACCTGGCTCGTATCGAGCGTGTCTACAAGTATGTTAATGATGCCCTCTTCTTCAACAATTCTATCGACAATATCTGACAGACCGACAGAAAGATCGATCGCAGAATCATCCCGCGTATGGCTGCCATGCTCGTTGACTCTTTAGATTCGACTAACATGTGTGCAGCATTTTGGATCCTCTACTTCCTCTGCTCGGCTATCCGCTCCAATGTTGGTCTGGCACAAACCATGAACTCGGCACAAGGTCATGACCTTTCCGACGTGCTCCATTTGACACCCAAGCAAGTCTCCACTGGCCTGGCGCTCTTCTACGTCTGCTATGTGGTCTTTGATTGTCCTTCGAACCTTATCATGTCCAAGTTGAGCCCGCATGTGTGGATGAGCAGAATCGTGCTAAGTGTTGGTATCATTGGTACATGCATGACAGCTATGAAAGCTGCTTGGAGTCTCTATTTGTTGCGACTGTTGCTGGGCATTGTTATCGCTGGCATGTGGCCTGGCATGACCTACTACCTCAGTCTTTATTATCCACCCTCGCGCTGCGCAAGACGCATTGGACATTACTACACTGCAGCACAGCTGTCTGCCGCTGTTGTCGGTCTTGTCAGTGCTGGCTTCCAAAAGATGGATGGCCTTGGTGGTCTCGTGGGTTTTCAGTGGATGTTCTTGATTTACGGATTGTTGGCAGTTATCCTCGGCATCGTATTGCTCTGGTGGTTGCCCGATCGTCCGCACCCGCCCGGTGAGAAGATTGAACAACCTGTTGGCTGGAGACGTTTGCTGCCACGAAGCCCACCCGTACTTACGGGAGAGGACGCTCGTATCCATTACGAAGAGCTGACAAGGGTGTACCATCGACCCGCCTGGGGATGGAAGGACCTGGGTCGCGTGCTCATTGACTGGCGCCTTTGGCCTTTGGTCATCATGTACTTTGGCGTCGTAGGCGTAGGTATGTTCATGTTTCTCTGGTTCATCATGTTCTGCGCTAACCAATATCAGNGCATTGGTGTTCAGAGTTACGGCACCGTCATCATCCATGCCATCAACCCTAGTCTCAGCAGTATCAACTTGTCACTCCTCTTCGCACCCATTTGGATCATGGATCTGATAGCCATCCTCCTCATCACCNCCCTCAGCGATCGCTTCCACACTCACCGTCACCTCATCTTCAGTCTGTCTTGTCTCGTCATCCTGGCCGGTCTTCTCACCACCACTTTTGCCGGCGGCAACGACAGCTGGTCGAGATATGGAGGTCTCTTGATCATCGGCTTTGGTCTGGGACCCACTGTGCCTACCATTATGGCAATGAGCACTTCTATCTTCCAGCCACGTCACGGTGAAGTTGGCATTGCTGCAGCTTCTGCCCTTGTCTCTGGACTCGGCAATCTTGGCTCCATCTTGACCACTTATGCATTGTATTCTGGCTGGCCTGAAGACGCAAAGGGCCCTCATAAGTACAGGAAGAGCAACTTGGTCATGGTGGGTATGGTGTGTGCGAGTATTGTGGCCAGTGGTGTGATGGTTCTGCTCCTCAGATGGACCAGGACAGAGGGTGCGCAGGCCATTGAAGATGCCGTCGAGAACAAGGACGTTATGGCTGATGGAGCGGCCAAAAGAGAGTTGAGAGAGATCAGGGCACAGCAAGGATTCAGTCTGAACAGGCTGAAGGTACACAGATAGAACGGAGATCTTGACACCAGAATGTACAGCAAAGGAAGCAGAGCACCATACACTAATAGATGAGATAGAATATACGGAGAGAGGTGACTTCGTTGATGATCTAATTTTAAGACAATGCGACCAGTCTAGCAGTGCCTCTCTTCTTTCCATTCATGCTTTACCAAACCATCTCTTGGTACATCTTCCTTAACTCCCCTGCCATCATCTCTACAACATCGAAGGTCATGGCAGTATCCTTGTATCTTGCCGCCCAATTTCTCGCCACTCTCTCCACTTCCTGCTTGATGTACTCGACATCCAGACGTTCGTATGCATCTTCGAAGCCGAAGAAACTGCCCTCCAGATGAATGGAAGCCTCTGCATCAAAATTTACAACCACATAAAAGTATGATGGCGTCTTCATCCTCGCAGCAAAGGTCACAGTATCGATGTGTTGCATGAATAGCGGCGCAACACTCGACTCGCAAAACTGCTTCCACGTTGGTTTAGACATACGCTCGCATAACGCAGCAGCATAGCGAGCACTCGTCTTTGTTCGGTGAGCATTCGAGTCCAAGACTGGAAAAGTCACACCCATGTCATCTGGCTGCGTGTGTGGTTCCAAAAAGTACTCGGTTTGCAACTCGGCGTAGGGACAAAGTTTCTGCAACCATTTTAGACGGGTGCTGCGCGGGATTTCTGATGGCAGGTCATCAAGAAAGTGGAAGATCGGTATTAAGATTCCACTCCAAAGCCTGGGGTGTTTGCGTTGGTGGTTGATGAGTTCTCGTCTGAGGTTCGAGTGTAGCCTCGAACGTGTGCGCGAGTTTGCGAGCTGCAATTCAGTGAACATTCTCTCTTGTCTGTAAGGGTTCGAGGACGAATAGAAAGTGCATGATGGAAGATGGAGGTCTTTAAGTATGTTCTGTCTTGACTCACTGCTCCCACATGGCCAACAGTCATATGGTAGATTCTATTCGACTTCCTGTCGTGTCTTGGTCTGCAAGACGTTCAGGCGCGAACATTGTAGCAATCACTAATATGTGTAGCCAAAGTGTACTCAGTATCAAGAGTGAACTAGGCAGAAATTCGCTCACAGCTCGAGGAAGCTGGAAATATGTTTCGTTAGCCCACACAGCCAGGCCGACCAGACTGGACACAATGAAACTCAGCCAGATAATACGTTCTCGCAAAGATAATGGTTTTGTCCTAGGCGTAAGGTACTCATTTTGCCGCGATTCCAGATAGGCGAGCAGACAGATCGGAATGATATGGAACCAAAATATAGCTAGCATTGTCAAGGGCCCAGGTAGGGAACGACTCAGAGCTTGAGGAAGTTGGAAGAATGTCCCATTGGTCCATACAGCAAAAACCACCAGGCCAGAAGCGACGAAGCTCGTCCATACACAGATCATCAAGGTGGACGTAGGCTTGCTTGGAGGGGATAACGTGGAGGTCCAGGCAGGACCTTTCTCTAACATATCATTTTGCATGCTGTATCTGGTTCCTTCGTGACTCTCGACAGATAGATGGAGAGGCAAGAAGAGGAGTTGTTCGGTGACCAGAGGGAAAGAGAGATGGACCCTGTCGCCGTCACTCGACGATCGGACCGAGCTCAGACTTTCACATGTCGATCGATGAACGCATCGACAACTTTTTGTCAAGACAACATTCTACCTGCCTTCCTTCCATACACAACATCACACAAATATGGCAGCTTCCACAAATGCAGAGGCGCAAAAGTCTGTCTCGGTCCTCTTTGTCTGCCTGGGCAACATCTGTAAGCCGATTTCCCCCTCGATCATCCTCCTCCCAAACCACGACCATGCTAACAAGATGTTCAAGGTCNGCTCACCAATGGCCGAGGGAGTGTTCCGCAACATCACAAACCACACACGACCCAACGCACACCCGATGATCTCGTCCATCGACTCTTGCGGCACAGGCGCATACCACGCCGGTGAATCCCCAGATCCACGAACCATCTCCGTCCTAAACGCCCACAAGATAACCTCATCCTTCTACACACATCAAGCGCGCAAATTCCGCAACTCAGACTTTAAAGAGTTTGACTACATCTTTGCAATGGACAGGGACAATGAGGAGAATCTCCTCAACGCAAGAAAGAGGATGATCAAGAAGGGAGACCTGACCGAGGAAGAGGCAGGCAAGGTCATGCTGTTTGGTGTTTGGGGTGGTAAGGGCAAGGAAGAGGTGGATGATCCCTATTACGGTGGTGCACGAGGATTCGACATTGCCTATGAGCAGGTCGAAAGGTTCTCGAATGGCTTTGTCAAGATGTTGGAGGAGCGTGGCTCGGGGAAGAACTGAGTCCGGACGCGTATTGCAAGAGAAGAGATGGTTATAGATATAGAGACGCAGATGGTCTGCACAACGTGATACCCATATACATATATGCTCAAGCTGTCACAACTATTAAGAAAGAGTTCAGGGCTGATATATACGTTCAAGTCGAGTGTATAAGGTGACATATCAGGGGTATCTATCTCGTCCTTCGTACTACACAATTGGGTACTGTCCTATAGCAGCGAACTGAGCGCAGCGTAACCGCCAACAATGGCCAAGACTGCACCGAGCAACAAGGCCTCGCCCTCCCAGGTGCAGGTGAGATACGTCACAATTCCGACAGCCAGCTCTCTGCGTCTGGCAGCCTCGCGCCTTTGCCTCCATCCCGCCTTGACAGCGTATGGTGCTTTGATATCCTGATTCAACGACTTCGATGCATTAGTGGGTATTGAAGCATACAAGATGACAGGCTTGTGATCTGAGGATGGTTGTAGCGACAAGGAGTCGTATGTGTGGATAGTGGGCTGGTGGCCAGGCAGTGCCAGGTACAAAACACGATCACACCAACTGGGATGGCGATGCTCTGCCCAGTGCCATTCTGTCTCGTCGGGCACCACGACTGCATTTGCGCCCGAGCGTATCTGCTTTTGCACTTGTTCAACGGCCTCGGCGGCTTGCTTCTGTGCTTTCTTTGAGAATTTGTATGTAGGCGCAAACTTGATAGCCTCCTCTTGAAGATGGTGCAACGTGTTTCCAGCAGCCTTCTCGCGTGTCAGCTGGTCGTTGGACATGGTATGCGAGTAGTGGGTAGCATCTTCAGGCGAGTCGTTGCAGCGTGGGAAGGCTTTATGGTTGTCAGGATGCGGTGAAATGTCCGAGGTGCGATAGTTGAGGTCGCCGCCAAAGAAGACATAGGAGCTCGGGGTTATAAGAGCGTTGTCCTGTTCTTGCGACGTGTGCTGGTCGTCGGTAGCCGAAGAAAGCAAGGGTTCTGTTTCTTCTTGAATGTCTTCATTGTTGGTCGCGCGTGTTCGCGTCTTCTCAGCACTCGTGACTTTGGTGAAGACCAGGTTCTCGTTGATAGAGCGCCAGTCCAGATTTCTACGCTGCCAGGCGTCTTCATGGGGAGCCAGGTGGGCTGCGACGAAGGTGAGGTCCATCTCAGCGCCGTCGTCGACTGCATAAGCCAGACGTGCACCCACAGCGCCTTTGTTGCCCATCTCCCAGGCTCCGACCCCTGTTCCAGCGGTTTGAACGCTTCGAATGTTGCGGGCGACTTGTGGGCGTGCAAATAGCATCAGGGCTGTCATGCCGACATTGCTGCAGAGAATCGTCTCGTACTGCTCGTCATGTTTCCAAAGCTGGTTGAGTTTCTGAATGGTCTGAGAGAAGCGCTCGAAGTAGGGCGAGATAAAAGAGCCTCCCAGGAAGGACTGGCCTAGAGGAGCGATCTCCTGCAGTGAGAGGGCTATGACATCGGGAGGAAGCTGAGCGTGGGAGAGGCCTTGGTTGATACTGGCGGCGAAGAAGTCGGCATTTACCAGCTCGCGTCCACAGTTGAAGGTGAGAAATAGCGTGTTGAGTTCGGCCATGGTCGATGTTGTGCTGAGTGAGAGGAGGTACGACTATTGTTGCATCGCGCATGTGATTGAGCAGCAGGTTGATGTCATCGCCAAGTCCAGCCATCGCTCTCGAAGTCCTCATCACGTGAAAAGATGGATAAGCGACGCCAAGATTGTCCAACGCCAAGGAGCCCGCGTGGCTCGGACCACAGACGAAATTCGACTCCATCTTTGCGCTCGCTGAGTTTCTGACTTTCTCCCCTTCGTACAGCGACACATCAATCACCATGCCTACCCGCCTTTCCAACACCCGCAAGCACCGCGGTCACGTCTCTGCCGGTCACGGTCGTGTCGGCAAGCACCGCAAGCATCCCGGTGGTCGTGGTCTCGCCGGTGGTCAGCACCACCACAGAACCAACATGGACAAGTACCATCCCGGTTACTTGTAAGTCTTCTTCTGCNTCTGCTATCCGTCGCTTCCCGGTTCTGACAATCTCCACAGCGGTAAGGTCGGTATGCGCTACTTCCACAAGCTCCAGAACCAGTTCTGGGCTCCCGTCATCAACCTCGAGAAGCTCTGGTCCCTCGTTCCCGCCGAGCAGCGCGAGAAGTACCTCTCCGGCAAGGGTGACTCCGACTCCGCCCCCGTCCTCGACCTCCTGCCCCTCGGCTACTCCAAGGTCCTCGGCAAGGGCCGTCTCCCCAAGATCCCCATCATCGTCCGCGCCCGCTACGTCTCTGCCGAGGCTGAGCGCAAGATCAAGGAGGCCGGTGGTGTCGTCCAGCTCGTCGCATAAGCTCGTCGCTTGTTGTGACTATATTGAAGGGAATCCGACACAAGAAAAGTTATGAAAGGTGGCATCCGGCATCAGGGATTTTTTGTCAGCGTGGTAGCTGGGTGGGAGTGCTCTTCAGCGTATTAGTTGAATGCAATTTCTCCACCGAACAAACCATTTGCCTTGCGCAAATCTGCGAGATCAACTCGTCCCATTTGGGAAGAGGCCATCTCTAGGCATGGACAAAGGCGCGGAAAGGCTCAACCCTTCGCGCCTGCCTATCGTGATGTGCTGTCCTGTGATTCTGTCATGTCGTGAACGTGAGAGCGTAGAGCTCGTATCCCATCGCTCCATCAGCCGCTATCGACTTATATGCAAAGGTCAAAGCCATACTGATGGTCCGATCGCCCAAATTACCCTCGACCTCATAAAATGACCTTATGCTCAACTTATTACACTAGTAGATTTTCATCCAACCCTTTTTCGAACCTCCATGTCTGTACATACATCAATATGAACAAACTCATCTCACATGCTGTCTTTTCCTATCCTTGACCGCCATCCATTTTGTTCGCCTTATGCCAATGGTTGGGTCTGCATGAGTGATGCCTTCCAATAATCATCCGATAAAGCGCACGAATAGCAGCGTCTCCCTGTTTCCCTTGGCAAGATATTGGTATTCGAGAACAAAAAAGAATAAAAGCGCAAAAAATGCAAGGTGATGGTACGACCCTGTCATTACCTCACCACCACTGAGGATCCTTCCATCATGCCTCCTGTCTGGTAAATCACGTCGAAACATGTTTGTTGGATCGACGGTAATCGCTTCAGTCCCTGGTATGCGGTCAATTAGTGTTGTCAATGTGCTGGAGCAATTTCTTGGGAAGCATGAAGAACTTCAGACAAATCGAATATCCACTAGCTCATGTTTGCACTAAGAAACAGATGTTAACGTCAATCATTGACTTTGCGGCGCCGCTTGCGATGGAACGTGACTACCATCAGCGACCAGCAGTCCCTGACCCATCAAATCTAGCGACATCTGACCCGAATCCATCGCCATCAGGTCCACACCACTATTGAGCCCAAACAGATCCGTCATACCAACAGTGCTGTAGTCAAACGATGGCATCTCGAGAGAATTGTACAACCACGAGCCTGCAGAATCATAGGGTGTCTGATCAAACATCTCGTTGTTGAGCCAGGTAAACGACTCCATCAGGTTCGTACCCAGATGACTTGTCGGCTCCGTGGACTTGAGAGCATCCTTTGCAATCTTCATGACGTCTAGACTGATGGCTCGACCTGTCGTGGAGCCGATATGATCGATGCGGTCTAGACACTTCAGACCTTTTTCCACTGCTAGGAATACTTCCTTTGCGTGGGCGGGTGTCGTCTCGGTGTCGAGGACGTCGAAGAGGAGGACAAGACAGGCAGAGACGATGAAGTAGACCATATTTCCATCCCTCCTCATTGCAGGACAGCGGTTGAAGAAACTGTCATAGACCAGAGATATCAAGTCCTTGGCGGATGACACGGTGAGATCGATGTCTCGTTGTATATCAATGCGATCGCCTATGCTATCCTGGGCCTGTTGTTTTGAGTCGAAGAATGTTACGTATATCAAAGCCGGCCGCATCATCAAGATGCACGCGATGTGATAAGTGGCACCCAAGCAGCTCCTCTGGACCTCCTGAGATATACTTCCAGTAGGTGTTTCGTCGTCGAAGAAATGCAGGTATGAAGGCAGAGTGTCCAAAAGATCACGTAGAGCACGCGAGCATTCGCCATTAATTCGATTTACCTCTGTCAGGTCGGCCACTCGTGGTGGCTTGGTGGGAGAGTAGTGGCACTTCATGATTCTCTCGCTGATCCTACCGAGAACAGCCATCGCCCGGATGTATGCATATTCGTTGTTGTGTCCAGTCTCTGCACCCGGACAGTCATCGGGGTATGGAGCGTCGATCGAATCGTCCACGAAGCAAGAGGGTCTGCCGGTGAACATGGACATCATCCGCTCCATGTAAAATATTGTCCAGAACGTTAGCCTGAGACTATTCAAGAATGAGTTGTTCCCCGCCACCACCTGTGCGCGATGGAGGCCTAGAGCCATGGCAGATCGTGAAGCATGGCCTAGATACAAGTACACCATGTTTGGTCTTCCGATTTGCATTCCGTATAGTGCCNNTATCACAGATGAGATATTTCAGAAGACTATTCATAAGGACAATCTTACCCTTAATAGTAGGAGGTGAGTCCCAAGAAGAGAGGTCTCTTCAAAAGAGTCTGTTGGTACTCCAGCACGCTCGTAGAAATGTTGAGCCCAGGCATCCGAAGCAGAAGGCGAGGAGTCACCGTAATCAGTCATCCTGGCTCCGATGGCCAAAACCATGTATAGAATTGCCTTCTCTTTGGTAAATTTCTTGCTATGGTCTGGCATATGGCTAGGCCCGTCCCAAAGAACCTTCCACGTCTGCCGGACATCACACTCAACCAAGACTGGCCCTTGTGGGTGCATGAGTGTGAAATAAGCTGAAATAAAAGCTTCACCTAGCTCTTTTGGCAGAAAACTGCCGTCTGAGATGGTGTTATGAGATGAGGAGCCCTCATCACCGTGAGTGAATATTTGACGTTCAATACCCCATTTCCGAAGACCTTCTGGAACTGTGCGTGCTACGTTGAGTGGGGCGTTACTTTGACGCCGAATACGCTGATACAGTCGCTGCACGAAGCTAAAATGACTTGAAGGGCTGACACAAATCTCGTTAGTTATATCTACAAAATTCAGGTAATCAGGATATTGCTCACCCNNATAGAATTGGTAAGCCTCCGTGCTACTGTCGAAAGCGCCGATACCAGCCCGCAATTCTTGCTGTTTCTTGTTGGTGACTGGATCCTCATAAGTACGCATACTCGACTGGGATGCTTGTTTCGTCTGGGATTCTGATGGCTGTTGCCTTTGTAAAGGCTTCGGCACGATTGATCTGATGCTTCCGGAGGAACGCGATCTAACACCGCCGGGATAAATGCAGTCAATGCGACTGCTCAAGCATCTTCCGCATGGTAAGCTGCCATCGCACTTGACCTTTCGAGCTCGGCATATATTGCAGGCTCGTGTGGCTCTTTTCTTTTGGACAGACCCAGGAGTTGAACCCGGCGTAACCTGACCTTCCATGATGGGGAACCGTCGAAGCCTACGATGAGTCTTTTCAATGTCACCTAGGACTTTTGTATAGTGCTTGGAGCATTATCAACGATGAGAAGCATGCAAATGTGATCGGCAGAAAGTCTAAAAGTTGGCTGACTAAGCTATCGATAGGCTAGCCTACGACACACGACCAGACGAGTCTGTGGTTTCTCTCCGAGTCCTGTATGTGCAGATCAATTCATGATCGACTTGACTAGATAGCATGGTGAAAACAAACGATTGGTTTGACCTAAGGAAACTGTTCGTGGCGAGATGTTTGGTGTAGCGTGACCCACGCTCCTACAGTGGCTCCGCAACATGCAGCACTATTAGACGTGCTCGAAAGCATTCAGTGCTTTCTTTGGTGATGGTCGCGGTGAACATGTATCGACACATAACAAAGTGCTGAGTTGTCTTAGCAAGCGCTTGCATACATTGAGAGCTTGTCCTCGTCAGAGGTGAGGGGAACCTCGGAATACTCGTCATGTGGTCGATCTCGATAGTATACTACCTTGTACTTTTTAAGCTGCGCTTACAAACACCACGCACAGTATCCTGAGAATCACGACCCGAGTCAGAAGAACTAACAACCTGTTTATTACGTTCCAATGCATGATAAAGCAGAGCAGTCCAGAGCGGACCTCAACTTCGTAGACTTGCCACAATTCCCACAGGATGTACCCACGGCGCCACTCCTCCGAATAAGTCTAAGTAGACTCACCAGAAGCGACCCAGAGGAGATCAGCAAGCTATGGGAAGCTTGTTGTGAGCTCGGCTTCTTCTATCTTGACCTCCGTAGTGCTTCGACCACAGCGAAAAGTCGCCCAACGACTCCTGCCATGAACGGCCTTCCCGAAGACCTCTGCAACGACAACGGCAGAGCAGACTCTGCTACTGGAGATGACGAACATGATACCCAGACTAAGACCGAACCGATCAGAAAGTATGAAGTCGACGTCGACGGCGAACGACTGCTCATAGACGCTGAAGATCTGTTCAGAGTCGGCAGAAGTGTGTTTGACCTGCCTGTTGAGGAGAAGGTCAAGTACGATCTGAAGGACCAAGGAAGCTATTTTGGCTATAAAGGATATGGCCAAGGTGTCATCGATGCCGCAGGAACAAAGGATCGAAACGAATTCTACAATGTAGGATATTTCAGAATGTTAGAGAACAGGTGCTAACGTCTCTTTAGGNTCTCGAAAGACGACATCCTAGGACTCGCGGAACCACTGCCTGCTCCCGAACTGCTTAATCCACACCGCGACTTGTTAAAGTCTTTCATGCAACAATCTCACGCACTCGTGGACCTACTGTTGGGTCTGCTGAACCATCAATTGAATCTCCCACACGACAAGCTGGCATCTCTGCATAGAATGGACTCAGTTTCCGGTGATCAGGTTCGCTGGGTCCACGCGCCATCCCAACCGATGGACGACCGGAGAACTGCACTGGGGCAGCATACCGACTTTGGGAGCGTCACGGTCTTGTTCAATCGGCTGGGAGGACTCCAGGTATTGCCGCCAAACACAGACGAATGGTGTTATGTGAAGCCACTAAGAGGACATGCGGTCATCAACCTAGGCGATGCAATGGTGAAGCTCACCGCCGGAATTTTGCGCTCAAACATCCATCGTGTTGTCAACCCTCCGGGCCAGCAAGCCAATCATGCACGAATGAGCTTGGTATACTTTGCCAGGCCAGCGGACGACGTTGTCCTGAAAGCGCTGGATGGAAGCACCCTCATTGACCAGAAAAGACAACAGAGTCCAGATGATCTTGACGAAGAAGAGATCACAAGCAAAGAATGGATATTACGCAGAGCATTGGGCCGAAGACAAGGAGGAGATTGGACGAAGGCTGGTGGAACAGAGAGTGGACGCGTCTAGGTTCAGCTCGAGCCACATCGACGCACGGACGCAAGCTCCACCCCTCGCCTCGCTTGTTCTCAGACTTGATATGTGGTTGTTCTCAAATTCTTCTTTCATCAATGGACCTGTGGCGCAGCGGTAGCGCGTGTGATTCCAGTGTCATCCGGGACATCCACAAGGTCATCCGTTCAAATCGGGTCAGGTTCATCAGAAGACATGGAGCGAGGGCTCTGTGTGTTGCCTTTTGTCGGTTCGTGATGGAGAAGTTTTGTTTTCGCAACGCCGGGAAACAAGGGTCCAGAATCCTTCCTTCGACATTTGTGAACAGCTGCTTGTTTCAAACATTAATTGATACTGAATGATGGGACAAGCTTACATGGGTGTAGCGGTCTGATGTGTAGTTTTGCTGCTTCTTCAAACAATACGAAGGAACACTAAATCCTCGACGTGGATGGAACGAAGAGCACGCAAGGAAGTGAACCCCACGTTCTGTCACAGCCTAGGGTAATGCAGTAGTGACCAGACACAGCAGGGAAAGTATGGAATCACTATATGCCCTACATCTGCGTCGATAAAAACTGCACATAATTTATGCGGCGCAGAAGGATGCAAGCAAATGTGGACGACCGCCGATCAATATTAGATTCCTTATCCCTCAATTGGTAACCATAACGACGATGCCAACACACAAAGGATAGGCAACCTTGCATATGTAACAGCATGTACATCCCCTTATGGTTGCTGATCTCGGAGCAATTATTCTGTACATCATACGCGAACGTAGATTACTATGTGCTGGGTAGCTCGACTGCATGTTGAGTTGATCAGCAACAAGCATTTCTTCAAGGCATAAACGAGACGACCACCGCCGGCCATGTGGAATGTCAGTGGGTCCTGACTCTAGAGTCTTGGGTGCAATCGACTCGGGATCATGGTGAACAAAAGCCAAGCTGCTTACAATGCCGACTTGATTACCGAAGCATCAAGAGCTATTACCTCCCCGCGAATGTCGATGCCGAATCAGGAGTGCCTGTGATATCTACGATTTGAATGAATTTGAGGTCGGCACTTAAAACAGGCAGATGGTGACAATACAGCCAAGGTGGTAGAGGTCTGATATAGTTGCATGCACTGCCACTCCGACCCTAACTTCACAGGCTGCCTTGAATCGACTCCTCAAGCGCATGGAGACTTGAAGTACTTGGAAGATTGCTGGGCATGTTGGATCATGCACGGGTTTCACTCTTAAGAAATTGACGATGACGTTCTGGCGTGTGAGCATATCTGACCTGCGCAGCCACAGATCTTTGGCTTGACTAACAACGCCATTGTCACGCCCATGGCTTGACAGGGCTGGGTTTGAAGAGGCTCATTGGAGGTGTTTACAAGCCCAAGCAAAGTTGAACATGAGTCGACCACAATCGACCACTATGCAAGAGTTTGCTTGAGCCCAGTCGCTGGAATTGTCCGCTTATAGGTCTCCAGATCAACACAGAAGTCTGAGCCTTTGTGTCCAGATACCGGTTCGGACTCTTGGGTTCTGCCAAGATTATGAGTAGACAGCAAAGACCCACGCCTACCACAGCCTCTGGTGGAAGGATTAGGAAGCACAAGAGAAACCAAGACATGCTCGTTGGTATTGAATGCGTGGCAGAACGAGACCGGATCCCGAAAGATGCGCTCAATACGCAAGGGTCGAATCACGAGGATTGCTCAGCTTCCATCGATGTATATTAATTGTCCTAGAAGGATTGGAACATAGCGAGAGGACCTTCAATTCGCTTGCTCACCGAGTGCTGATCATCTTTGCTGTCAAAGTCTTCTATATCCACACTGGCACAATGCTGCAGCTCTTGGACAGGCGTCCCGTGGTGTTTTTGGCAAGAACATTCGGCTCCCCTCACCGGAAGTCGCGAGGTGAGGTTGAAGTTCGGAGACAAAGCCAAGCCTCCGATTGGTTAGACTGGAGATAAGCCTTTGAGTGGCCAGTGTGCACTCTGATCTGCAACCACGACCGCTCATGTCTTCCAAGAACAAGACTTGTCGTTTGATAGCCACTTCCCTTTCGAGCGAAAACCGAATTGGACCACTTGGCTGGAACACTGTGCCCTGCTAACATGTAAGAAGTAGAACGTCCACGTCGATCGGGAACGTTGTAACGTGAGCGGAAAGTCTCCTGTTTCACACGCCTAGGCTCAAACGAGAACGTCTACAGAATAGGAACCAGTCTTCGAAACATCAAACACAAGGTCTCATTGTCTCGTGCTCAGCAAGAAGTTGGAGATTATCTATCTGCTCTACTCCATCGGAAACGTGACCACCTGCCTAGGCCAGGCTGTATGCAGCACATCCGCAAAAGCCGTCTGACATGCGATCAAATCGATTCGCCAAGTCACGTAGTCTCATGGCGATATGCATCTCTAGAATGGAAGCAGGCCAAACACACTGCGTGCACGAGTCCAAGGCTGGGCCGTCATGGCACGAACCACTAGATGATCGCTCCGTCTATCAAACTCTTGTGGGGCAAACAGGAATAGTATCGACAGAGGGCAGCTTGTTGTCAACTCCTTCCAAGCCTACTAATGGCCTTGTCTCTGTTAGAAGTACCTCCTGCGGGTCTCGGGCTCGATACATTCCGCCCATCAGAAGGGTACGTGAGAGGCAGTAAGATGCAGCTGGTCTCTATGAGTTGTCAGTATATAAACCTGCTACTCTCTGCGCCTGTTCTTCTGATCGATATTTCCTGTCTTACCATTGCCTTGTTGTTCCATATCATCCATTCTTCTTTCCTCTATGCTGAGAGGCATTGTCTCCATTTGTTAAACACCTAATCTTATCTGTATTTCTCAGAATCAGCCAGCATGGCACTTATCTCGCTAATCGCGGTGGTCGTGGTGATCGCCGTCATATCTTTCATAAACTACGTCAACAACTCAAAGAAGGATCAGTTACCGACAGGAGTACAGAGACTGCCAGGCCCTANNAAGGTTAGTAATAAGTATCTGTTCGCTGACTTAGCACTTTGATTAACAGCTCCAGGCTTCCCAATTCTAGGCAGTGTACCAGACGTGCCAGATAAGAACAGTTTTCTGAAGTTTCACGAATGGGGGCAACAGTTTGGTCCAATCTACCAAACCAACCTCGCTGGCCAGAACCATGTTTGGATCACGCGAGATCGTGTTGCCCAAGAGTTACTTGGCAAACGTGCAGCCAACAACTCTGAGCGTCCATTCATCCCCTCCCTCCAAGCCGATAATCGCAGCGGCCATTACCTTCCTCTGATGTCCCGAAACGGTATGTAATATTGAACGGCAGGATCAATCCGTCTGCTGACATCTATAANNGAGCTGTGGACAAGACAGAGAAAGTTCGCAAAGCAAATCATGGACAAATCATCAGCCAATTCATTTTACAACTACCCCGAGTTAGAGTCAATCCGCCTTCTGTTCGAGCTCATGACCGATCCTTCTCGTTACAACCATACCTTGGAGTCATTCATCTCAAGAGTCACTTGTAGACTAGGATGGGGAACTGCAGCTCCCTCTGACGAACTCAAACAGCGAGCCAGAGAATTGCTTATAGGTGTATCTCCAAATGGCGCGCTTACAAATAAACTCGGCTTCCTCAAGAAACTCCCCGAGGCTATTGTACCAGCAAAAGCATGGGAGTTTCGCAGATACAGGACCGAAAGCCGCTTTTTCACTATTCTGCAGAACGAGGTCAGAGAGAAGCTCAAAAGCAAGACCGCCCCAGAGTCCTGGATGCGCTACTTCCTGGAGAACAAGGCTGCTACTGGATTTGCGTCTGATCTGGAAGGTGCCTACGCTGTAGGTATGCACGGAATCGCTGGTGCTCTCACCATTGCCGCACCAATGCAGAGTTTCTGTCTCGCCATGTGTCACTATCCTCAGTACCAGTTTGTCCTACATGAGGAGATAGACAATGTCTGCGGTGGTAGATTGCCAAAGCTTAGCGATATGCCTGATATGCCTGTACTACGAGCCTTCATCAGGGAGACTATGCGAGTAAGTTGGTCGTATACACATCCCTACATGTAACTAGGAGACTGATTCCAAGCTCTTTAGTGGCGTCCTCCTGTGCCCACAGGCATCCCACACGAGTCTGTCAAAGACGACATTTACGAGGGCTACTTTATTCCTGCCGGCTCTGTCATGCATCCACTCGAGTGGTCCATTAGCCGTGATCCAGAAGTCTTCCCTAGTCCCGATGAGTTCAATCCAATGAGATGGCTGGAAACAAAGTACCCAACATATCAGGAGCCACTAACCAAATACCCGACCATCACCCAGTACAGTCAATTTGGTTATGGTCGCCGTATCTGTGCGGGCATGGGGGTCGCTGAGGCAGACCTCTTTGTTGGCATCGGCAGTCTTGCCTGGATGTTCTCTTTGAGCGCGAGTGACACCAATAACGAAAATGCTGCAGAACTGCTAAAGGAGCCTGTTCCATCACCGCTACCAGTCCACAAGGAAGACAAGAAACCAGCATCGACGCCATCAGGCATGCAGACACCTCCCTCAGAAACCGAGATTGAAGAACAACTCGATGAACACTTCTCGGAAAAAATGCTACCAACAGACACATGCAGACTGTCCCGCCAGAAGACAGTCAAAAGGCCANAAAAGGCCGCCTTCTCGAGCGGTGGTCTCAGTCGAGCAAAGACCGTGACCTACAAGCTTCGTCTCCCAGGGTCGTCCCTTCCAGGTCAATTCCCTGCTTTCTTTGAACAACACACAGGCCCTGATACCCCGCCTTCGTCACCCAAAACGCGCACCGTAATGGCAGGTACACCCGACATGCCTGCTGTGGACAACATGTTCAACTCTATCGCCGACGAAAAGGCTTCGAAACCTGACCCCACGCTCGAGTACTCAAGTTTGCTGATCGCCAAACCTCTGCCCTTCAAGTTTAACATGAAGATCAGGAACAAAAGAAAGGCTGAGCATGTTGCTCGCGAGTGGATGTTCTACAAGATGAATGGCGAGTTTGAGGACTCGAGGTGCTATTGGGAAGGCGGCAATGCTGGTAACAAGCAATACGGATGGGGTGAGGTGCACAAATGATGCATGCCTTGGCTCTCTTTACTACATCTTTTCATTGTTGTCTATTCGAGAGGCACTTTCATGGACTCCGTATTTTTTGCAACTTTCTGTCTACCATCTTCGACCGGAAGAGGATCATGAATCGAGCAGTAAACTTCTGGACCATTTTTTACTTGTTTTATGCTTCCAGGATCGGTAATAGATGGTCTGCTGTCCTTTCTCTTGTATCAAAGGGCGGATGTGTCCAGACTGTCAGATCGACGACTCTTTTTGTGGGCTTGAAGAGACGCCTTTTGCTCGCAGCTTTGAAGCTCTTCTTGGTCGACGAAGGGTCGGGTCCATTCAGAGTAGTATTGTATGTAGCGGTCGCATTGACGATTTCGAATTGCACAGTAGAGTTACCCTCACGGTATGTGCTCTTGGTCGGACCGGACGTCTTGTATCCACCCTTGACTGTGCGTCTTCCAGTGGCGATATCCTTGCCGTGAATGGCACGATCGAACATTTCCAGACTCATGAGGGGTTGGTAGAAAGGCACTTCGTGACCGGACTCGAAGACACGAACGAACGAGAACTTGCCAGACTGCTTGACCTGTGCATGGACAACATTGTCTGAGCTTGTAACGTTGGTGTAGCCCGCAGTTGAAAACCCGGGAGCGTCGACCTCCTCAGCAATGACCTCTCCACCGAGCCAATTACCTAGAACACGTCAGCTATATTCATGTCTATGACGAATCAGATGCTTACAGTTATAGTCAGCATCGCCAGCATAGAGAACAACGGTGATATCTCCACACACTAGCGACTTGAGTGCATCGATGGTGCCGTCCTGGCGGTCGTCGTCACCTGTGCTTCCAAAAGCTGACGAGACAGCGCTGCTGCTCTCACTGAAGTTCACATAGGCTCCAATGGCTTCCTGGACCCTTGGCGAGTTGAGATAGTCGACGTAGAAAGTAGGTGGGAACGGATCAGGCGAAAGTTCGCGAATGTCGTACTCATCACGGAGAGCAAAAATGTCCAGAACGTTCTCGACATTATTAGCACAGAAGTTGTCGGCAAAGCTGCAAACCTCGTTGATGCCACGAGCATAGCAATCTTTGGTCATGTCAACACAGTTCCCCGGTCCGTAAAGAGCGTTGTACATCATGGCAGAGACGCTTTCGTTAAAAGGCTTGTAATCATATGTGTTTCCGGGGGAAACGGTGAAGTTGTAGTAGGCCTGGTATTGTATTAATGGATCGTACCAGCCATTACCGATGAGGAGTGTTTTGAGATTGATGTGGTGAGCGGTAGGAAGCTCGTTCTTTGCGATCAGTTCGTTTTGTTTCTCGATGTATTGGTTGATGATTGGACTATAATGACCCCCATATGANCTGACGAGTATTAGCAAGTAGTTATAGGATTTCTCCTCGGTGTGAATTACCTCTGTAGCAAAATTGAACTCGTGGCGAGAATACTGCGGGAAAGCACCCATGAAGCCTTGTAGACCTTTCCAGAAGTTCGGTGCCACCCCAGCGGTCGAATTCGCCGTGAGGGTCTCATTGGGATAAGAGTATGTGCCGCAGCTTTGTGCGTACTCAGGGCAGGTGGCATTTGGTAGAGTGACGATGGATCCCGAGTTGGGATCAGTATACGCAGGGACAGGAATGGAGTAAGAAAAGCCGACCTGGGCAGGCTGGTCGATGAAGATCATGTTACTAGATTCACTCCACGAGTGAGGGTTGTTGACCACTGTGCCATTCGAGTCGACTCTGCAAGGACCAAGTTCTTGGAACAACCCGATCATCGAACTACTACCAGGGCCACCGTTGATCCACACTGTAAGAGGGGCATCCTTGGGGTTCTGGTTACGAGCTTCAAAGAACCAGAAGAAATAGTGTTCATTGGTGTCAACATCAAGATATCCTGAGTAGCTCTTTACGGTGTTGTTAAGCTCACAGATGCCATTCGGGACTTCCTTGTACCGGACTGGAATGTCGGCAAAACCAGTAGCATGGGTCCAATTCGTCGGAGCCTTGACGAATTGACTGAGTGCAAGAGGAAGTCCAGCTAGGACCAGAGTTGAAAGCATTGCTGGAGCCATTGGTCAATACTAGGTAATGTTGATGCAAGCGACCACGGTGAAAAGAGCAACGGCCCCTCGAACCTCTTTAAATACCGCCATGTCGTATTACTACGTAGCAGCAACCTTCAATTCAAGATAACGCTTGTTGGAAAAGGAAGGCGGGTTGCGGAGTGAAAGTGCCCACTTGCCCACTCCGGACAAGATCCGCGTTGATGCAAGGTTCATCAAGCACAATTTGATGGCGAATACGGTGAGAAGAGACCGGGAGCCTCGATTAATCGTAGAAGCTCATCAAAGAGATACCACATGTATGCTGTCTACAATCAAAATGGTACTAATCGCCACGCTATGAGTTTTCATAGTTAATATCACTAGATACAAAGAAAAATTGGCAAGGGTGTGGGGAAAATGCTTGTCATTTGGGCTTGTTGCTATGGCATTGCCGCTGCCATTCGACGACCAGCTAGCCATCTCTCTCCTTCCCTCTATGCTAAAATTTGTGACGCGTGCCGCAGTGTTCCACAATACTCTGAGGAGTTGGGACAACATGTACTGAGAGTCGTCTTTTCATCGAAGCTCTCTGTACACCAATTCGATTTGACGTCATTCGTGCATCTTCTTCATAGCTCATCTATCACTTACTGTCACAGGAAGAAGATGAGATGAGACTGGCAGACTGAACGTTCATATCAGGAGAAATTTCATAGATTGACGAATCGTGAGAGTCTTGTGATGAGTTCAACACGTTGGCTACGTGCAATGTACAGTTCATCGAATCAGTCGTGCGGTCAGAAGGACGGTAAGGGTCATCTTCTACGGACGGACGATGCAGTAGTTGTCGCTTATGAGTGAGCTTGACCAATATGTTGTCATATCTGTACTGTTTTCGTTCGCCGGGCTTTATGAAGCTACCCACAACGACAATTCACGGTGGTTGCTCGGATGGTGTGATACATAAGTCCCAACAGATCAATGACTGTGATGGCAAGACACGAGATGGCGAATAACTACCGGTCAGTTCATGTGAGGATAGTGAAGCTCACGCAACCATGAAGGTGACGTTCAAGCTTGGGAGCTCAGATGGTGTGGGTGGGATTGCTATCCGATCAAGCCGAGCGCTGAAGGGCCGATAGGAGCCGGAAATGGCGCCCTGGCGTAGCGATACCCGAAAGGAGGTGAAAATGGGTGTGTGACCGCCTCAGAACGAGAGCAGGCAGCGGTATAGATGTCCAAGGACAGGATGCACTCATGTTCAGGGATGGAAGCATTCGTGTTCAGGGAAGCGGCTAGAAACGGAACAAGCATGTCAATGATTCAGGTCAGTAGCCGAGATGCGCGGAGGAAGTCGGGAGTGAAAGCAAGAATGAGGGGTTGTTCGCGAGAATAATGAGGGGCAGTCTGAGAAGTGGTATGTACGCTGTGAAAGACGAGGCTATCGAAAGAGGTCAACGAGAGGGTATCTGAGCCACTCTGAAAGGCTCGTTGTCGCAGGTGATATTGATGCACTCAAAACGTTTAGTGTCCGTAAGCGGAGCTCGGAGTCTTCCACAGCTTGGACGGACGAGGGGCATTCAACAAATTCTGTCGTGCTGTCATCCCATCCCATCCTCCATCTCTCCTTCCTTCACAACCACCATATAACACCCGCTCACCTCATATCGTAAGTCCCCCATCACCGCCTCATAAGCATCAATCTCTTCGCCTTCACAGCTCTAACAGCTATCCTGCAGACACAAACATGCCTGTCAACGTAAGAAGCTCCAGCAGCAGCAGCTACAGCTCTGCTTCGCATGCATCGAGGAGCTGTCACTGACCCATCTACAGGTTGGTATTAACGGCTTCGGTCGCATTGGCCGCATTGTCTTCCGCAATGCGTAAGTCGATCCTGTTTCCCATTGAGAGCTACGAGCTTAGACACTGACCGCCACTGCAGCGNTCGAGCACGACAACGTCCACGTTGTTGCTGTCAACGACCCCTTCATTGAGCCCGAGTACGCTGTAAGACTGCCCGGACCACTCCCAGACGACCATTGAAGAACAATGGCTAACCCGCCTCTTCCAGNNGCATACATGCTCAAGTACGACTCTGTCCACGGCCAGTTCAAGGGTACCATCGAGGTCTCCGGCAAGGACTTGATCGTCAACGGCAAGAAGGTCACCTTCTACACCGAGAGAGACCCCGCCAACATCCCCTGGGCTGAGACCGGCGCCTACTACGTCGTCGAGTCCACCGGTGTCTTCACCACCACCGAGAAGGCCTCCGCCCACTTGAAGGGTGGCGCCAAGAAGGTCGTCATCTCTGCTCCCTCGGCTGATGCCCCCATGTTCGTCATGGGTGTCAACGAGAAGAGCTACAAGTCCGACATCCAGGTCCTGTCCAACGCCTCTTGCACCACCAACTGCCTTGCTCCCCTCGCCAAGGTCATCAACGACAAGTTCGGTATCGTTGAGGGTCTCATGACCACCATCCACTCCTACACCGCCACCCAGAAGACCGTCGACGGTCCCTCCGGCAAGGACTGGCGCGGTGGCCGTGCTGCTGCCCAGAACATCATCCCCAGCAGCACCGGTGCCGCCAAGGCTGTCGGTAAGGTCATCCCCGAGCTTAACGGCAAGCTCACCGGTATGTCCATGCGTGTCCCCACCGCCAACGTCTCCGTTGTCGACCTTACCGCCCGCCTCGAGAAGGGCGCTTCCTACGAGACCATCAAGAAGGCCATCAAGGACGCCTCCGAGGGTGAGCTTAAGGGCATTCTCGGCTACACCGAGGACGAGATCGTCTCCTCCGACATGTGCGGTGCCAACGAGTCCTCCATCTTCGATGCCAAGGCCGGTATCTCGCTCAACGACAACTTCGTCAAGCTTGTTTCCTGGTNNGTAAGTCTTTTCTTCTTTCGAGTCACACGTGCTTCCTGCTGACACTTCTTCTCAGACGACAACGAGTGGGGTTACTCCCGCCGTGTCCTCGACCTCCTGGCCTACATCGCCAAGGTCGACGGCAACGCATAAATCTCTTCCGATCTGCGTTTGACCAAGCTCTGAATCTGCAAAGAGGAGGGGCAAATGTTATGAAAATGGGTTTCGAGCGTCACTGGCATACATGATTGCAAGAGGCTTTTCCTTTTATCTCACTACTTCATAATCGAAGCAATGACATGTTTTAACGTTCACGATCTTGTTCTGTCTCTTGTGCTTTTTAATATTCTCTTGTCGCTTCTTCTGGTTAAGGGTAACATGTGCCAGACCTTGACTTTGGCTACCACGACATTCGGTTACCTCACGCCTTCCCAGCAACGCATCTCTTCGCTAACTGGACCGTTTTCCATAGCTTCTGGAATAAGCAAAGACATTTTCGACAAGCAACATGCGTTTTCCCACAAGGATATCAACCAGTCTGGCCTGTGACTCAACTCGTTTCTGAGGACAGGCCTGCTGCTTTCAAAGCTTTGCGCTCGGTCTTGCGCTCTTGATGCTCCTTGCGGCATCTATCACGATTTTCTTTGGTCTTTTGTTCGTGGTAGAAGCATCCACTCCCCTCGAATGGAGGCTTGTCTTTCTTCAAACATACGCCATCTGCATTGGCCTCCGTCAGGTTGTTTCCGGTAATGGCCTCTGAATAGCAGGTACGACACAGCTTCGAAGGCAGTCTTCTGCCCAAGGAAACCATGACCTTTGCCAGGAACTCTGCGGGCAAATCTTCCCATGTGGCAGTCGACTCGTGCCACGCTTGTCGGTATACCGCCAAATGAACCATGATGCCTCGCAGAGGGGATTGAGGAGGTGTTTCCCTAAAGACAAACTGGATGAGACGCGTCGATGGTGTGTGGTAGTGTGGCCATTCACCGAGGGTACGGGCATGGCTAGCTATGGCATCGATGACATCGTTCTTGAAATGTACAACGTCCTCGTGTTTGGATGACTATAAATCTTTGAGGAAGGAACCACGGAAATACTTTCTCGAGTCTTGAGACGTGATTAATTCATCCTCGGGAAGCCACATTACTTGACATCTACAGGCTGGCACTCGGAAATGCATGTAGTCCTGGTCCTCAGATCTCATGCAGTTGAGTTCTTAGCCAGCTTGTTACGCAACTGACGACCTCGGATGAGGTGAGTGATGCCACCTCAAAGTGGGGTTGACGAGCTGACCTGGCAGCTAACTTGTCTTTGCAGGACAACCCTTTGTAGCATCTTTAGCAGAACACCACTTCCAGCATACACTTTTCAGAACCCGACAAAGAATATAATGACTTTGACTAACACGTATCCACAAGACGAGAGGAGCAAGGCAAAAGATACGCCAAACGAGGTGAGGATAACCAAACTCTCCAAAACGGAGTTATATGTACAGTGTTTAATGCGTTTCTTATATACAGTGACACACGACAAAGATGCCGTGCGCAGCATCGTGGACGCCGCGCCCATTCTACATGTTTCCTTCAATGCACCTCCAACCGAGGGCACGGAACCTCAGTTTCCTACTATTTTGCCGATGTTAGGAACCACTGCAGACGACGGCCATACTATCTACCTACATGGCTCATCTGCTGCCCGTCTATTTCGCCTCGGGACTGGGCAAGATTCTGGGCTTCCAGTATGCATCGCAGCGACCATCCTGGATGGCTATGTACTCGCTCTGACGCCTTTCAACCATTCCTGCAACTATCGCTCTGCTGTGGTGTTTGGGTATGCCACCAAAGTCGTGGACGCGGACGAGATGATGCTTGCTATGAAACTCATAACAAATCACATCGCTGCAGACCGCTGGACAAATTCTCGTACGCCACCCACAAAGTCTGAGCTCACCGCTACTGGCATCCTGAGGGTCCAGATCGACACTGCAAGTGTCAAAGTTCGGAATGGAGGTCCCCACGATGACAAGAAAGACTTGAAGGATGAGGCCACTGTATCCAGGGTGTGGACAGGCGTTGTTCCGGTTCACCAGATAATGGGCGAACCAGTGGCTAGTCCCGACAATATGGTAGAACAAGTGCCCGCAAGCGTAAAGTCTTGGATCGAAGACACGAACAACATGCGCAAAGACCATATGATCGAGTCTATGAAAGATTAAAGCAGTAGACAGCTGGTGGCCAGTTCACTGCAGCCGATTCAACCACGATCTCTCGTTGTTCGCTTCCTTGTTCTCCTAGGTTGGCCAAACAGTGCGTGGTACATTGTCCAGTGGCTCACGTCAGAGCGCCCTCTTAGCGATATAGGAAGTCTAAGCCAGTTGAAACCCATTATCCGGTGTATTTGGTTGACTCGGTGTACCAGAGAAAATTTGTTCATCTTCTGGGCTTGTCTGTTGGCTGCTACAGTTGATCTTCCTGGCCCGTAAAGTATCCAAAGTCGCAGCTTGACCTCTCTGCGCAGGCCCTTGTCCTTGAGGTTGACGCCAAAGCTGTGAAGCTTGCGAACAAGCACAAGACCTCTAGTCCAGTCTCTAGGGGTCTGATTCATTTCAATGTCCAGTTCTTGCTTTTGATCACCCGAGTTTGCTGAAGAGCCTAGGTTGATGGAAGTTATGGACTCGGGAGATGAGGCCTCACTCTTGAACCCCCACGCGACGATGGCACGCAGAAGATGGGGTGTGAATATGGCAGCTAGAGGATGCTGGCCGTCTTTGCTCAGTGTTGTTGTGTGTGCCTTGCTAGGGCCTTGATCTCGGGACGAAGGTTTGCCAAGAGACCAGTCATCAACACTGAGGCGACCAGAGTACCATAGGGCCAACCAAACGGACAGTCTCTCAAGGGGTTCCAGTCTATTCTCCATGCCGTATCGCTTCAATACTTCGTGCCATCGTGTTGGCTTGAACGACTGGCCAGTGCGCATAGTCTCCAAGAAGATATTGGTGGTCAAGTCTAAGTCGTCTATGTAATCGCGATGCTGTTGTTTAATAGGTCGCTTAGATCGCAGCCGAGGCCTTAGCAATGTCCATTGGATGGTTTGTAACGATGCATCGGAGACTGGAATTCGATGTAGACGCATCTCATGCAAGATTTGCAGTGTTGATGCTCGCTGACCACTACGAGCATATGTCTGGAGAATCAGATTTGCGTGATAGTTCTCTGGCTGAGCTTGGTGTATCGTAAGAACATCAAGGACAGCATTTGCCTGGCTATGATCACCAGAGGCCAAGAAGGATGCGAACAACTGTTTCTGTAGGACGCGATCTTCGTACGCTGTAGGATGCTGGTCGCTTGTAACCAGAAAGTCGAAGCTCTGGTGTTTGTCCCTTCGACCAGCAAAGGAGCGTAGCGCATGGCTGAAGACCGATTCAGCAACAGATATGCCTGCAAATTCGATGGCGTCAACCGTCGTAATATAATCGGCCGGGCTGGGTGAGCGCGCAGCTATCTCTCTGAGAGCCAAGTTGCCCACCGATTTCAATCCAAGCATGCGCAGACCGGTGATGATCAAATCAATGGAGAATGCTGTTGTGGCAAAGAGACGAGCACAGAAGGCATCATTTAGCTCTTTTTCTCTGATGTTATGAACATCGCCAACGATGCTGCTCATACTCTCGCGAGTGAAAGGAGGCATGGCGGCGTCAACAGGTAGCACTTCAGGCTCAGTAGGCTTCAAATGGTCAAAGTGATATTGAGCCTCCAAGATTTGAGTGGTGATGCGAGGTCTGATGGATGGTTTCATAGATTTCATGTTTGATTTGGCAAGCCAACTGTGCTCGATCAAATGAGCTATCACAGGCATGGACTGCATGGAGAGTGAAGGATGATCATCATGCCGTTCAAAGAAGGCGTGCATATCCACAGCATCAGAAAAGTCGAGCAAGCGACAGATAGGTAGGATGCATTCATCGTATGCATGTTCAACTTTGGCTGAAGTATAGATTTTCTTGAACACCTCGATAGCCTTGGACTTGTGGTTACTGCAACAAACATCGGTAACGAATTGGGCCAAAACTGAGACAAAAGCGGGTGGAAGTAAGCCATCAGCTTGCATACGCTTATGCCAGGTTACAGCGAACATGGGATTCTGACGCAACAGAGGACCCATGAGACGCGTGTATAGGCGGATGTCAAGCAGACCAGAGCGAGGCAGAGATTCGACAAGATAAGGATAGAGATGGTGGAGCATCTTCGGGTACTGAACGGCGGACCAGAGGAGGGTTGACCAGAGTTGATCGGCCTGAGGACCACGTATGGGCAAGATGACACGACGATGAGCGATGGCTTGGACAATGTCTATTACACCTTGCTGGCCGTCCAAGCGTAGGCGGAAACGGAGCAGTTCGAGCCAGAGGTTGACATTTTGGAGGTATTGCGATTGATCGACCAAGCGAGTGTCTCCAGATTCAGGGACGGGCAGGCGACTGCACACGTCGGCCTCGTAGCGGAAGGTGGAAAATGCATCCGCGCTGGCTTGCAGACGCTGGAACAAGGGCATCCATGAGGTCAAGCGAGCAAGGAAGTTCTTGCGCTCGATGTGTGAAACTCCAGGTGTAGGCAGGTGTTGGGTACCCTTGCGGGCATTGTCTAGCTCTTGACGGACATGGTCGGCATTGGCGACAGCAACAGCGGCGGGCGATTTGCTCGGGCGAGGGACAAGTGCGTGGGTGCGGAGCAAAGTCGAGTGTGGGTGTCGAGGAATTAGTCGTGAGGCTAGAGCTGGAGGTCGGGCCAACCCTCTGTGGAGCGCAGGCGCGCCGGGTGGCATGAACGGAGGGAAAGTGCAAACACGCGCGAGCCTCTGTCAGAAGACATGGAGACGTCTGCCGGTCAGAGCAGCTGCTGTGCCATCGTGAGCTCCTGCCGCAATAATTGTTCGGGGAAGGCGCATGCGGAGAGCAGACAGACGGCAAGTGCCGACGACCTTGTTCATGGCCGTCACGCAACGCAGACGACAAAGCCCATCGCGCATCTGCTATCGTCCTGCCGTCTCGCTCGACTCAATCTCCACTCAATCACCCTTCACAATGGCTGGGTTCGTCAATTGCCTCTCTGTCCAGCTGCCCGACGTGTCGCAGCGCCCCTATGGTGGTGCACAAACGCTGACCAGCTCTTGCAGCCTCAACTCTCCCGGTCTTTACCGCCGCAACAACGTCCCCCACTGGCAGCGCATGCACCAGACCCACGACGGTCTCCGTCAGTGGCAGAAGGGCCCTCGCGCCAAGATGATGCTCTACCCATACTACGCTCTGCTGGCCTCGACCTCGGCTGCCACCATGTACATGATGGGCAGAATGGTCCTCGTGCGTCCATCCCAATATGCAACCCTCGCTCTCCGTACCACTGCTCTGACACTACGCGCAGNNGGCCACAAGACTTGGTTCTCCAGCAACTAGACGTTTGCCTACTGTACATTACCGCAATAGAGCTCCATCCGCCAAGTCCCAAATACCCACAACCAAGCAGCTTCTTCACATTTCTCCTTCAATTAATCATCTACACCATCCTGCGCCGTGTCCCTGCCTGTATCTGCAAGACGCTGCCTTCTCTAAGTCTCTCCCTGAGCCGACGAGTCCATCTTGACCTCAAACACCTCGCTCGACAAGCGACGGACGTCCTCGTTGTCCACGCGCCCAAGCGCAGCCTTGATGTCCTGCACTGTCTGCTCACTCAGCCCTTCCTTGCGTCTGCTGTAAAAGTCGATTCCAGCAGGTGTAAACAGCGTCTTGGCAAAGTATGTGACGACCCAGCTGTCTTGACCCGCTCCCTTGTCTGCCCATCCAAGCACTTCCCAATGAGAACTGGCGATCATGAGCCATCCTTTACCACGCCAGTCCCACACGTCTGTCACTCCGACACCGCCGCTGGCCTTGTCCACACCGTGAACTGTATGCAATTTGTCTGAATCAAGCCCTTGATATGACACAACATCGTCCAGGCGGTCCGTCTGATCTGGAGTAGCGTCAGGTGTTGATGGCGCGAGTGCTGTGTACGTGATCTGAACATTGCGCTTCGATTTCCACATGGGCAGAGTGCTGTGGGTGACTTGCCATGTGCCCTGCAGAAAAGATAGGCTGGGCGATGAATACCCCTGCGACTGCGTCGCCTGGACGTTTTGCGACACGCCGGGCGCCCTAAGGATGACTGCTGACTCGGACTCCATATTGTGTGTACTGGAAGCCTGGCGATTGTGATTGCAAGTCGTAAATCTGACTATGGCTTATGCGCTGTGTTTTGTTGATCATGTACGAGCGAGGAGCGGTGGTTGGCAATTTGCCCCACTCTCCATCCAACCTCCGTCCATCTTTTGCGACCAAGACAGCTTTTGCGTCCAAGACAGTCTGTCTAACAGTGGTTGGAGAACCTTGCAAACTCCGCAATTCATATCCCGCCTTGTCTTTGTGGCAAGCAAATCACGACATGTCTAGGAGGCATCGGCCGAGGAGCTGCGTAATGCGAGAAGGGACTGCCCAGTGATTACGACAGCTTTTTGTGAGGCGCAGCGTCTTACCACGACACGGATCTTTATTTTTATATTCGACTCGTTTGTATATATTCCTCTCATCTCCGTTCATTGTTGTTTGTCATTCGTACCTGATTTCAGCTCGTTGTGTCCCAGAAGCATTTGCCTACAGGTCGTCCCTTCTATTCTGGTCTTCTTTCCATTTCGCCTCCAAATTTACTCCAGACAACTTTTCATAATAGATATTTCGAATCTTTCAAAACAGGACGACATCTGAAACCTAGGCCTTGAAACCTGTGTCACATCCATTAGGTATTGTATCCTTCAAGGTCCCAGACTTGTTCTTCAACTAACGCATCCCGTCCAGCAACTATGATGTCCAGCACAAATATCCTAACCAGTCTTTTCCTGCTACCGTCTCTTGCTCAGATCGCCTTCGCAGCAGTCACCAAGAGAGCTACAGCTTGCAACAACTCTCCGGACTTGTGCAGTAAGACATACAACAATGTGACTTACCTTGGTGCTCACAACTCGCCCTTCCTACGCGATACATCCACCGGCAACTCGGCGAGTGGAAACCAGTTTTACAACTCCACTGTTCAGCTCAGTGCTGGTGTCAGACTGCTGACTGGCCAAGTCCACAACAACAATGGCTCATTGCACATGTGCCATTCCAGCTGTGCCCTTCTCGATGCCGGACTGTTGAGCGACTGGCTCTCCGAGATCAAGACGTGGATGGATGGAAACCCGAACGAGGTGGTGACTGTCCTACTCGTCAACTCAGACGACTCATCTGCCTCGGACCTGGCAAGCGCGTACACCACTGCCGGAATAACATCTTACGCCTACACTCCCACATCGACCAACGCTACAGGCGATTGGCCTACCCTACAAACTCTCATCACCGACGGAAAACGTCTGATCAACTTTGTCGCTAGTCTCGATGACAATTCTGCTGCGCCTTATCTCATGGATGAGTTCACGTACATCTTTGAGAACAACTACGACAACACATCTCCATCCAACTTTTCCTGTGCAGCCAATCGTCCCTCCACTGTTACCACAAGCTCTGCACTGCAACAAAACATGATGCCACTCATGAACCACTTCCTTTACGAAACTACAAGCCTTTTTGGAACCACCATCGAGTCTCCCGACCTTGGAAACATCAGCACCACAAACTCGGCATCGGGTGGCACCGGTGCTTTGGGGACTTCTGCAACAGAGTGTACCAATACTTATGGGCAAGCTCCAACATATCTTCTGGTGGACTTTTTCAATGTTGGCCCAGCCATCGAGACAGCGGACAGGTTGAACGGTGTCACCAGTCCCGTCGGCAGGACAAACGTGAGCACTGCCGCTTCGGCCCCAGCCAGTTCTGGCTCTACTCGCAGCGGAGTCTCGAATTTCTCCTTGATCACAGCATTGATTGTCGCCTTCGTTTTGATTGCCTAGTCCTACATTACCTGAAAATCTGCGACCCGTGCAATGGCGGAACGACTGCCGCCTCCTCTCGTGGTCGTCTCTGCTTGGGTCCCAAATGATGCATTTGACATCACACATCACATAGCGAAGGCGTTTTGGATCATTCGGAAGGCGTTCTGGGCGCATGTTCCGCTCATCAAACATTGTATATAGACTGCATAACGCACACGACCTAGACTTATGGATACGAATTCAATGACCATCAGAAGAAAGCACATGGTTTGTCGTCATCACTTCCGATCCAACTCATGTGCATAAACCTCGTTACCGGTATCATGGGTTCAAAATCACAACACTCGCTTTACCAAGCAACTTACCACGCGGAAGGCAAACGTGGAGCAAAGGGATCCCCAGGCTCTTGCTCATTGCAGCTTATCCCCTCTTCTTCGGTGTGTCTGGGTTTCAGGTACAGATGACCTACCATACCTCTGGGATGCCCATCAGCACAACCGACGCCCTTGGGATTTGGCTCGCCCGCCCACGACCGAAATGTCAGATTGGCGGCGGCAGCTTTTGTGTGATTTGCAATGCGCCCGTTTCGTGTCAGATAGCCTCCGATTCATGCATGTGTGATTATGGTGGATGTCTCGTGTGGATCTGGTGATGGCTGTCACCCTGGCTGGTGTGGTTTTCCTTCTAACCGATATGCAACCCAAGGGATGGTGACAAGGGGTGGGTATGGATCCTTGAGATCCTGGTTCGTGTACAAATATATATATATATTGTGAAGTTCGGCGATGTGCATGACTGGAGATTGAGGCAAGTATTCGGCAGTGATGTAGAGACTCACCTTGTTATTGCGACCTTGGGATTCGGTCAGTGTGAGCATACAACACTCAGAGCAAAGGTCAAGGGTGTGTCAACGACACCTTCGTCCACGTGAACGTGCAGACAGCGAGTGTGGTTAGCGAATCATACCGGCACTCGGAGATGTTAACGCAGGGCTGTAATGCAACGCAAGGACTTTGTAGCATGACTGCGAGCCAAGCGTACAAGGCTGGTGTATGTATGCATCTTAGCGAAGGTATCTGCAAAGGAGGGAGGCCATGAGCCCATAAGATCCCAGCACTGTGGGAATTGGCTACCAGGATCGGAGATTGCTTCATCGTGCAAGGTGTTGGCCGGTGTACAGGGAGTGGGATCCATATGGGATGTAGGGAGAGCGCGCATAGATTTCGATCAATCACAATATGCGGCAGCTCCCTTTCATCACGAGGGACAAGAAGTACGTAGCTAGCACGGAGAGTGATCGTATTCGCGTGTTGACTCAATCGGTAACCACAGCGTAAACGTCAACAAGGCGGGCCGGACCCTATCATCGAAGAGATCCACAGTGCTGGGAACGTGGTGAGGTTGCACAACTTCGAGATCGCTCGAGGCGTGGACCAAGGCCGTGGCGCTGCAGTTCACGCAAAGCGCCAACAAACCAATGTGCTCCTGCCTTCAAAAGTGGATGTGTTTCGTGTGAGCTTTTGGCGAGTCGTGGGCAGGGGTGCCTTGCCTGTTCCCGCCTGTCAGATCTACACTTGCGGGACCCGAGAGAAGAGGACCCAAGATCGCAGAGTGCGGTGTGATGGCGCGAGGGAACGGTGGCTGCACCCCTTCTGCCTGAACATGCGGACCGTCACCCCAACCAGCTGCGGATCTGTGAGAGTAACCGTTGCAATAACGGCATTGTGTTGTTGTGTAGGGAGAACGCGTGTAGCCTCTATGAGCCCAGGGACTGGGGGAGGTTTGTAGCAGATCATTGGCTGTATTCGTATGCCACTCATAGCGAAGGCAAGCTCTGGTCTTGGTTCGGGATCGGGGGCTCTCCAGTCCATGATCATGTTACACAATTTCTGTGCCGCAGAGCAGCATCGTTCGGTTAAAGGAGGTGATGGATCGAACCCACATGCCTGCAATATGGATTGCGTGTGCTGGCCTACCGGCTGCATGGGCGGTTAGGTAGCATTAGAACCCCTGCTTAGCAAATCATAGACGTTGTAAGCAATATTTTATAGACATCCATAAGGGTGATATCCTGGTTCATGACACGAGTCTTGTCAGTCATCGCGATTGAATCGTCGCTAGTCGCGCGAACTGGGCAGTGTGGGTGTACAGCGAGCAATACAACAGCAGAACGCTGCACGAATTTCTAGACCATGTCCCATACCTGTGGAATGTCCCAAGACGCCGTGTAATGCACGCGTTTCCCCGGCTTCGAGAGATTGTGGGTGTCCAAGGAGCAAGGCATGAGAGTCGACTTCGCAGAGACCCGAACTCTCGGTAGAATTTATAGGGCCCATCCCGGTTTTGCATCCTGCGCTCGCAAGATCAGAAGGCCTCAGCAACGTGCATATGCAGCTGGCTGACCTTGGTAGCGGAAAAGGCATGAAGATCGATCCTGGCACCTATCAAAGCGGGGACACCCGCACCTTGTTCACAGACGAGAAAATGACATGCCGTTCGGGATGTCCAATCAATCTGCTGAACCGGCTTCTGGGTGCCGCATCGAAGCGCGCATGAAGCAACGTTTGGGTGTTTATTGTGCTGACTTGGAGAGAACATGCGTGACACTGCAGTCCCGTTGAGACAATAGCAGTCAACACATCCAAGGACATACGGCAGATGCAACGTCCTGATTCAGGTCGAGGCAATGGATGATTATTCGAAGACGCTCGCAACAGCTCGCTTGTACGTGCACACAAAGCAGCAAAGGGTTCAACTTTTCAGGACCCTCTCGTCTACAAAGACCGAATCTGCCGTGACAGAAAATGAGATCAGCGTCGACTATTGATGTGTGGACCTGTTCTTCTCTGTATGCAGCGCCGCTAGAGCGGCCACGAGATCCGAAGCAGATGGAGCTTGTCAAGAAAAGAGATTATTCGAGCCACCAGCGTAAGCCGCAAAAGACGCGCCCTTGCCCTCCTATGCTCCGAGGGGATAAAATCGTGACCCACAATGCGGAATGTCATTCCATGTATGATCCTGGTGTCAACGTCCACGACAACTGTCTATCGTGACCACTAACGATCTGGTGCGAGCTCCGTACTCCAAGTACAAGACAAAGAGAGACAGGGGATTACTGATCTAAGGGGGCACAAATGCCAAGAAGTGTCAATGCATATCTGAATCATCATGAGTCGTGCAACTGCCTCTAGATAATGAGCCCTGGCCTGCACGTCAGTGGTGCGGCCGCTACTGTCAACTTTACCCAGATATGAGACGCCAAAAACACAAATCATTCTTCCATCGTGGCGTCTTCGCCGTTTTAGGTTCACTTTTGGCTCGCTGAAAGACCGGCTCCTACACTGGCTGACTCGGAAATCCCTGTCAGGCAGCTGAGCCAAAGATCATCATGTTCCAAAAGCGTGCACGCAGCAGAACGGCGCAAAGGAACAACAGAGCGTCCAGCTGGCTGAGGCCGCAAAAACACACTGATCCCAGGAGATCGGTCGTCTGCGGCCCAGCGCTATCGTTGCGTGCGTTCCAATACTGGACGTGCAGATCCCAGGGTCGTCCTGCACCTCCCTTTTGCCCTAGCTCACAAAGTCCAAGGATGATTGTCGTGAGTGGGTTCTCTGGGATTTTCGCTCCGACGAAGGTATCATTTGTCTGGCAGAGAGAAGGTTACATCACCGGTCAGCCGCAGCCAATGTAAAGCCAGGGAGCCTTGGGTAAATTGTGTGAGCTGTAAAGCTACATATCCACCAGCCAGAGATGTGTCTCTGCCTAAACTAGACTTCTCGGTCTCGAGCTGGCATATGTACCTGACAGGCTGTCACAGATCTAAGTTAGAACGTGCTGATATACCTAACGTGCCGCGCGCCTTGTCTGTGGGGAGACATGACTTGTGTATGACTAAAGTCGTTGACTTAGGCTGCATCCTACTACGGTCGCTGGAGGAGCGTCTCGTGCGTAGGCGGATTCAGCTGCGAGTGCCGCTCACGAGGAACCATTACAGCCTTCTTTTTCGTTGGTACCACCACATGGCATCTTGAACCCGGCTGTGAGTCGATGGGTGTAGCGGCATGCCAAGCGGCAGCGCAGATTACGACTCTCCCATTGCGGGCAGTCAAAATGAGATTGATGAGCGTCACGAAAAGTCAGGGGCTTTACACGTCAAGATACGAGGACAGGCAAGAAGGAAAGAAAACCCTGCGTCCCAGTCTCCGCCCAGGTAGGTTCAGCAGGCATGCAGAAGCGCCAAACTCCCAGAACCTGCCTTGCATGGGTTGGATGAGAAGCATAATCAAAGCAGCCAACTTACCCAACTTCGGAAGCTCGAGACATACATCACGGTGCATGGCGTTTTAAACCTCCGCCCGGACAACGGCTCGTGCGCGAGCTTCCGTTACCCACTGCTATGGCGTCGGCATCTGCATTGTCTTCTTTTGGTGCCCAGTCCCAAGACGCCAGGGACGGTTGTGACAGGTTGGCCGGCGTGCTAAGTCAAGCCATCCCGATCAATGCACCGACGATGATTTGCACTTGGTGTCTGTTGGCGCAGGCCGCTAGCACAGTCACTGACGGCTCCCAGGAGGCCCGTTCAAAACGATGGAGCGTGCTTCATGTCCAAAATTATACATGAGAGCTGCACCGCCCGTCCAGCACCAGCGGGCGATACATGTGCTTTTGTACCCGGAACTCGACCTGCAACCTCCGCCTCGTGATCCCATCCATCTGGTAATCTAGGAACTCTGCTTTCATCCTTTTATCATCGGACTCACTCATCTTACCTTCCGGGCCACCTTTGCTCAACGACTGTACCTCCACGTGTTGGTCACATCCAACCCTATCACCACCTCATCATCTCCGACAACACCAGCAACATGGACGGCATCACCTTTATCGATCGCTCTCGACACAGCTTCGGCATGTATCATGATTCGATCCGTAGAGACGCTCCTGTGCACCATGCCTCTTACTCTTCCACATCACATTCGACTCGCACACACTCGCCGCCGTACAACAGCGGTGAGAGTAGC